TCAATAGTTCACATAACCTTTGCACAACATAACCATATACTGTAACACTATAGAATTAACCATAAGAAACACTTGAATCACTTCTACGAACAACTAGAAAACGAAAATGTTCCAACTGTAAAAAAGTTTCGACTATGTTGGAAGGATTGTGGGAAAATAATATGTAAAAAGAAAAACAATTTAAAAACAAGAGTTGGAATATAACAACAGGTAGACCGTGACGGTGGTGCGGTTATCGCCGTGAAACTGATAACTTGTGTCAGGTCAAACGAACAAATGGGGCGTCACCAAGGTACGCCTGATAACATTTGATAACGGGCTCTTAACCTTCTGACTGTACTCTAGTTGAAACGGTGTCATCAATGTGCCATGGTACAAACACTTATGTGGCTGATAATACATCTAAGTATTGTGTTGTACGTCTTTATTGCACACGGATCATTGCTTCGTTGATCTTATGCACTTCCTATCGGTGAACTGCATCTGAGTTCAATAAATCGTTAAGCAAATACTTTCTAACAATGGACACACTGCGACATCCCAAACTCTATATTCTCTAGTATAAATGCACGTGCATGCAACAAAAATATTCACGAGATATGTCTATCGATCTACACATACCCTTAACAATATTAAGTGTAATCTTATGTGTCTATGTAATATACTTATTGTATGAATTGATTCTTTGCTAATAAATAATATTTTCCAGTTTAAATCACAATTAAATAAAGTATTACTAACCGTACATATTTACAACGCTACGTGGTAGACATAGCGTTGTAAATTAATTGTAATTACTGCATTTCGATTTATTTTTGCATATACAAACATATGCCATAGTTCATTAACTCATGTAATATTGGTACAGGTGCGTGCGATTTTACAAAAGTATTGTTTTATTATAAAATGTGACATTTGCCCCTGCTCTGTTCAACTACACAATTAGAGCATACATAATATATTGTAAGCATACAGTATATTCACAAGACGCCTGTCTCCCCTACAATTTCGCAGAGGTCATGAAACTTATATGTCGGCCATACTTCATTCATCAACTTCAACTGCCCCCAGTATAAGGGGTAAAATCAAGAAATTTAGAATTGGATTTAAAGTCAAAGTCAAAGCATATATTTTAATTAATACTTAATTGAACACTTTTGAAACGTCGAAAATTTTATAGTCCGTCCGTCTATCTGTCAGTGAAGCTAGACGCTCATTACAAACTGTTTCAGTGACTGTGGAGTCTGGAATTGTGTCCCTACCACCAGTTAGCCCTTACATATAACCCCTGAAATACAAAGAAGGGAATTCCCTCAATTTACTACAATGCTACATAATGTTCTAAAACGTTTCAACTACCAATCATACATTTTTGTGTTAGTTTCACGCCTTGTTTTGCACAATTATCGAAAATGTGACGAAGACGTTCCTTATCAGCTACCTACTCGAGCGGTAATTCACATACAAATGTAATTAATTCTTACCTGAACTCTGACAAAGTTCATGTACCTACATTATGATAGTTAAATGTTTTAATTAAAAACATGTTCAACTTGTTACATTTTTTGTACTTAATACTAATTTTAAAAAGTATTATTTACCTTGTTTTCGGCGCATAATCATTGTTATAGAAAGCCTACTTTTTCGAAATTGTTTTTGTTCTATTCAGGAAATATGCACATACAGTACTGTTTGGGAGACTGCTTGTGACCTTGTCATGAAAAATATGAAATGAAATTTCTAGAAAAGGGACACGAAACGATTTGTCAAAGACTTGTGCACAATGTGGACATCAAGAGAAGCTTGACTTGGTAAAAACAGATTTTAAGACTCCTTTCCATACATAAGCACAATTATAAACTATTTAGAATTGCTTCACCTAAATTACGAAAACAATACTAAATCCACATATTAGACACAAACAGCTTTCATACCCTGTCTAGTAATTTAATCTCAACAAACATAATATCCCTTACTATGTTACTTCGTATTTGTACGGTTAGTACTGCAAATAATGTGCAGCAATAAACGTCGGCAAGTCACGACCGGTCATGTAGACAATAGATAAGACCCGATATGACACACACATCTACGGACAAAGGAAACTCATATCAGTTCTGAGGAAAATCAGATGATAACGTTATTTGTAGCACTTGAGTGCACCCTTCGAGTATTGACGTACAGACGTACCTTGTGGTAATGATAGAAAGAGAATCATATTAACCTGAAAACCTGTAAATTTTTCAGAGTGCGCTGTCTCTTCATGTAAATTATATGGCTGTTGTTATATCTAGCCAGAAGCTTCGAAAATCTGATAACGGGTCTGCTAAGAATGTAATATTACCCTTAGGCGGTTATGGATAATGAAGGATCAGTAAAGTGGTTCCATATAAAATACTGATATTCGGCCCAATAGTCAGGGCTCAGTGAAAACTAATTGAGAAAATTCCAGTACAATCAAAGACGTTTCAGAGTTAGGAGCCCCTGAATTCTCACTAAATCAAGTTCACGTTACTGAAAATTGCCATTTAACTGGACGATGTTGTGATAAGGGTATCTTAACCCTTAGAGCGCCACGTCAGTCACCGGTGCCTGACGCTAGTGGAGGTTTGACTTTCACCATTTTAAACTTGGCAGTTAAAGTATTAAATACATACACACTCCTTACTTCAGTAACCAATACTGCATAATGTCCATTACCGCTTTCCATACATAATCCCTATATTACTCTACACTTTATATAATAAAGCGGATAAATATTTATACCATATTAATAAACCTCTTAGCGAGTATCAAGTGGTCTCCGAACTTTACCAGATGTGGCTTAATCAGTATTCTGTGGAAGCTGTACATCGAGTATATTTGGAGTTGTCATCTACGTCGTGTGTGTACTGGCAGTTGGCAGGCACCTGGCTGTGACGTCACGAGCTAATTCCGGCGAGACGAGGTCGTGACCCGACGCCCTGCGCACACGCACACACGCACACATGCGCACCGTGCACTGCTACCCGAAAATACGTAAGACTACGATTTTGTGCCGTGTCTTATTGAACTATTTTAATGAGTTTAGTTTTCGTTGTCTTTTTGGAGTGGTGTTTATGCCAGTATAAATAGGATAATAAATTTTTATACTCTTACTTGACAAAATTGCTGACATCATATCAATATTACGATTATGTTTTATATCTAACCTAGAAAGCACAAAATATTTTCCTAGAAGAATTTAAGTACATCTAATCTAACGTATATCGTTTATCTAAACATCCTTTTACAGGTTGCATTGTATACCACTCCCACCTTTAACTTTCTGTTTATTAATCTCGTCTACATACAGAGTATAATAATTAGCATGCTTTTTCAAAACAAATGTATTCATGAAATCTACATTTCTACTTCCCCATTCAGCAGTTAGCATCGAACCAAAGAGTCTTCTATTAGTTATATACCACACTAGGTATCAGATTTGGCACGATACATTATCCACATCGCATATAAACGTTCACAGTAACAGGTGTAGTTATCTGTGGCAGTTTTCATTGCATACAGTTCAAATACTGTACAAATACAGCATATTGCATTTATCGTGCATGTAAGCTGCAGGTTCATAGGTACAGATTTATTTATGTATATATGTCTAAATCAGATAATACTCCTACTTTTTTTTATGGAATGGGAAGCATACGAGCAGACGTTCACCTGATGGCAAGCGATCAGCGCCGCCCATGTACACCGGCCCCAGCAGAGGAGTCACAGGTGCGTTGTCGGCCTTTTAAAAAGGAATACGCTCTTTTCTTGAACTTGGAAGGTTTGAAGGTCAGTTCGGAAATATCGCTGACGACAGATCAATCTACAGTTTAATTAACTTCAGAAGGATGCACGAAAAGTTTCGATGCTGAATTGTATTTTGAAATGTTCACCACTGAAAATCAATATCATTTCAGTAACTACTTACGATAAATAACTTTCGTCAGTAAACGTTTATTTACATTATGTAGGTATGCTTTGAAAGTGCGAATATTTAAAAAGAAGCTTTCATTTTTAACAATAAACGATAGAATTCCATGAAGGGTACACTTGGTGTTACTGAAACTACTTAAAACAAAATCAAAACAAAGCTACCCACTTCTACACACACTATTCAATGAATTCAAGTTAATCCTTAAAGTTAAAAATGAAATAATATACAATTTTAATATTATTAGTTATTGTTTGTTATCGCGTCTCATAACCAAACGCTGGCACTGTTCCACAGTAGTTGGCGATATGCGCCTACACCAGAAATAGACACAGTAAGGATGTGACCTGTCCACCTTCATTCCCGTTGCCCTAGCGTGACGATACTCTTCCCAACTAATGCTAAAATATACTAAAATAGAAATGTCAACAACTAATCATATTCAACACTTTTTTTTTTTGAAAATGTCAACTTGAACTACATATTTCTACGAAATTCTCATTTCACTAATTCATTTACGTCAATCATTCATTTGGGTAAATTAGTCATGCAAACAAGAACATTTATTATGAAATCAATGCGGTAAAACGAAATGAGAAAAACAAAACAAAACTTTTCATGCACTAGAACAAACTAAGCCTTTCTTTATACAATTTTTACCGACTTCATTTACATAAATATGATTTTCAGTGGAGAACTCAATGTTGTCTTAGGAAAAGAAAATAAATAATGTACAAGGGACGTTAATTTTAGTCTAAATATCATAAATAGATGAACGATGACGTTGCTACATAATTATTCTTCTACCGGTTCCCATAACAGAGCAATCAAACAACAACTTAAGTTCCTATAAGTATCAACACATACAATACCTATGTCATAATCAAATTCACAAATAAGACCAAAAAGTCTCTAATTAACGTAACTCAGAACAATGTCTTTAAGAAAAAAACAATCGGCCACCTGAACGATGTTTGTATAATGGCGCCCCGACCAGTAATTACCGCAGTGCTGAGTGAAATCCCGTCAGACGCTCACTTGAATTATGAAAATCTTAGACGACATCACACTGGTATGATAATAGTTTACTATTGTGAGTGACTAATCAGTGATAGAGTTAGCTATTTAGTAATATATAAGCCTTCTTACTATACTGATAGTAGTGTTAACAGTCGGTGCAAGAGGTTAAATAATTTGCATATCGTATCATTAAAAGATTAATTGAGAATTTTCTAATATATTTTTCAATTGACTGTTTTAAAATTGATTATTTTAATAGTAACCAAGACTTTTTTCACTAACAATTTTAAAATTTTAACAATTATTTTGTGATATAATCTGCAAATAGTTATTTAATTTTACCCCCGACTGGAAATTTATAAAAACGACCCAGTGAAGTGGCATGTCATGAAACTAACTACTTATAATAATTTGTCCTACAGTGTGTACTATTCCAACTGGTCTGCTACCTCAACGATGTGCACTCGAGTTTCGAGGACTCCATCCAGGAAATGGACGATACCCTTGAGCTAGACGATTCCGGATCAGAACAGAAAGAACTTAAGCATTCTCATCATCACCACCACCTACGACTTGGACATCACCACAGGAAGGGACATTCACATGAAGATAACAATGACGATTATGATGACTGCGACTGCTCTTGCAGTAAGTGTGACGCGCCCTCTGAATGCTGTAAGAACGTGTGTAAGAGCTGCGCCAGCAACATCTACCAGCAGCAAGCGAGTGCACTGAGTGGACAGAGCCAGGCCAGCGTGGTGTTCGTGCCCTACCCATACCCTTTAATGGTGGCTAGTCCAATGATGAAGAGCATGAACCACCACACTGCAATGCTCGCGCATGCTCCCACTACACAATCCACTACCACCACTGCTGCCCCAATTACGACCACCGCTACCGCCGCAACCACCACTACTATTTCGCCGAGCTCGAATACTACTGGCAGCCGTTCTAACTTTGAACCATCAAATGCACTATATCTCAAATCACAGAACAACGAAAATGTCCTAGATTCGGTGCTCAAGAGTGTAGTAGACGATTATACAAACATTATCGTTAAGACGCCGGAGAAGTCAAAGAGTGGCAACAACAAGTACATGCTGACGTCACTGCGTCGCACAAAGCCCACATGGATGCCCAAGTTCGGGATTGTCCCCATCTCAGATGATATGGCCGTGAAGCTAATGTCACAACTCAGGGCTCGGTACCCCATTCGCGCCCAGAAAAGGCCAATGCATGACCCAGTAATGAAAGTGCTACCTTAACATCACACACGGTAGCTGTATTAGTTAGTCGCTTCAAGTCTCTCATTCATGCTACGTGAAAATATTTATTGAGAGTGTAGGAAATTGTATTATAAAATAGCTGTACTCAATTTTTATACGTGTAAACAAATTGTTCAGGACATAAAAGTATGAAATATTGAAAGGAAATAGTTTTACTATTTGTTGAATTACTTAAAACTCGATGTACCTATATTCAAGTTTTTATAACATTTCTACGATAAAGAAAATGCAAACATGCTGACAGCGAAATTATTTAAAGAAATACCTAAATAACATTTTGAGATAAAGACATTTGACAATTCGAAATACATAATCGATTCCTTAATGGTTGTTGCAAGGACAACAGGACCGGGTTTTGACTTATGAATTACAGAAAAAGATAAACCTCTTTAATTATGACTTTGGTAAGTTATTACCTACCAATAAATAATATCGACAACTACACTCAGGACATGACGAATTCGTAACATTACCTAATATTTAATTATCTTAACGCATTTCAGGTATGCAGTGTCCTATTAATGTGTTCAATGTTACAAGTGAGTATTTGCATAAGGAACTTTCATTTCCCACATCCATACATCCATGGACTGGGGATGTACAATCACTACCCATATTATGAGGACTACGACAGTGAGAGCATGGTGTTGCGCTCACATAGAAACAGGCACCAATACCGGTACAAAGCCAACTCTGATTTCTCAGAACCAGAAAACCACTACAAACGGGAATGTAGGTGTAGCTGTGTCAAGTGCAGGAAACCTAAACCAAAGCCGTGCTGCAAGGACTTCTGCACCCAGCAGTGTCCTATGCTAAACAACATATTTGTGGTACCGTATCCGGTACCTTTTGTAGTCAGTCCGCTAAATCAGTCCATAACCGAGCAACCAACTACACATTCATCATCACCGGCACCTCAGACATCAACAACAACTTCGACGACGCCATCGACAGAGACAAGCACCACGACGCCACCACCAGAAACTAAATCCACAGCCGTCTTCTTTGTTAGAAATCAGCCAAAACGCTTTCGAATCGTAGCGGACAAGAGAAGGAGAAATATGGGAAACAACGACATACGACCACCCAAGTTCAACAGACTGCCCAAGTATGGAATCGTGCCCATACCTGAGAAATTGGCGATCAGGCTAATGGAGCAAATGAGGGATGATCATAGGAAAAATCCATATAGACGGCAGGCCAATTTTGATACGAACGTTTTGCAAAACTACTAGCAAGATACATGTAGGTACTCAACAGATTTCTTTAATTGCTACTTTACAATTAACAATCGCTTTCAATAACAGTCGATATCTACGTATTTGCTAACTCACACATTTTTGTATTATTGTATATTTGTATATGTACAAATTATTAACAACACCGGTAAATAAATAGTAAGTAAATTAGATATTGGTACAGGTTTTACTGTCGTTTTTAATGTACATTGACTAATTTCAATAAAAGTATCGAATAAAATATTTGCGATATAAAAGAGTTCAATTCACCTTTCATTCAAACAGAGTCTAGTATCACAAATTAACACCAGGGGTTAATTTATAACAATTATAACAAGATTGCCGTACTCGTAACTATGTAAGTACTTACATCTAACACGTCGTAATAAATAAGTAATACAGCACGCACTTCCAAAACATTTTTCAGTAACAAACCGCACAACTAATAAACACACGTAACATTTCAAAATTTTGTTTCACGAAGCGTATTATCACTGAAAACTGAAAAACTATCAAACACTGCACCGCAATTCCTTTAATTTTTCACACTACTGCAACCGCGGTATATGCTGTATTTCAATTAATTATCCATTTTACTATTGTTTAGACAATAGGGCGCGACACGTTGAGCGTGGCTTGACCTTTCAGAAGTCAGCGAGACTGCGCCTGAGTCGCGCGGGGTCACCAACGATTTATTTTTAGAGTTTAAAGTTCAAAATACGACTGTTTGAAGACGCGATGACCGACCGCGTGAGCTTCCGTACATGATCGCGTTACTTATTGGAAATAGATTAAACACACACGATAATGATCTCTGCATTCTTTAAGACGGACTAATTTAAAATTATTATGAAAAAATTAAACAATGTTCTCACCTTCCTGATATTAGTAGCAAGATAAAAATGCAGATCTAGGTAAAAGAGGAACTTTTCTCTGTATAATGAGATGTGTTTTATATCAATTAACATCTGGCTTAATTAATGAAAGACAAAATATAAAACCAGATCAACGATTAAAATTAGTCTAATAAACTAAATAGTAAACTTCATGCTATCATAATAAGCGGGTAACATACAAACATTCTCTGAATCGGAATACTATAATGACTTGTACAAACTTCTTAAAATTTCAGTTAAAAAGCACAAATATCCCGCCAAAAATGTTTACGTCATTCTAAAGGGAATTAGCCGGCATTGGAAGCGCGTGTGCGCATTTAACGGCGACAGGTCAACGGTGGGCTATTTTGGCGACATCATCCGGGGCGCCACTGTATTTAAAAGCAATATTACTTGATCAAAACCAAACGAATTGGGTCACTTTCATAAAATACTCTGAATATTCGCGCGTGTTGGTACGTAACTATAAAAGTGATGTCACATCACACACGAAGAACGAGTCGTTGTCTTGATAAATGGAAACCGGGTTACCATAGCTACTGAGCAAATGTACACGCATTTATAGTTCAAAACCTAAGTAACTTTTAATTGGAGTCTTGGGGTACCTATTATTCTTTGGGTCAGTGAGCGAGCACCACCAATTTTATTTAGAGGAATGTAAACTGACTGAAACTCGACTGGACTCAAACTTGTAATGAACTTATTGTGCCTACATAGGTAATTATAGTATACTTGGATACGTAAAAAAATTAGAAATTACGTGAGTGGACTGATTAAGAGGGCAGCGAACGAGCACCTGATTATGATAAGCATTGCAATCATCATCGCCTATGGACACCCGCAACACAAATAGGAGTTACAAGTGCGTTTCCGGCTTTAGGGGTTAGGGTTAGGGTACCTACCAGGCGGTTCGTGCTGAAGAATGGCTCCCACATCAAAAAACTAACATTAGGTTAGATAGTTATTTTGTATATTACACGATTTCACAGAATAGTTGAAAACCATCAAGAAAGGTCGTCGGTACATAGCATAGATAAACATCAAGCGCCTGAAAATAAAATAAAGCAATACCTTCATTAGGAATTTGTAGCTCACATATTCTGAAGCGCCTGATATGTAATTCATATCAAAAAGTCACTTAAACAAGTGACAGATTTGTACCTACCCTAACTAATGAAGAGTATTAACCCCTCGAGCGTCCTTATGAGCACCCGGTGGATCATAAGAAAAAATGCTCCAAATGTCACGTGTGCACCCGTTGGATCATAAGGAACGCGGACGCTCGACGGGTTAAATTAATTTTAGTTTTATTGATGTTGAATTGTCTTTTATTTAACTGCACCTGTGGCTAATGTGTCGAATCATTGACTAGGTATTACGCTAGCAGTGCTAGCACTCCGTAAGAGACTAGGCAGAGGTATATTCAGTAGACAACTTCAGATTACCTTAAGTAACGATTCAAAAATGAAACAATGGTGTTTATGTATCAATGGTTCTACCTTATAGGATATGTTAGTTTGTAAGTATTTACGTTTCTAATTATGTCGCCGGCATGAGCAGGCATGACCGCATTTACAAGTCAAAAAGTTTGCTAGTCCAAGTTGTGTAGTTATTTTTAAAAACAATCTACTTACCTTTCCATCGGATCACAGCATGAGCAACCCATTTTAACTAAGTAACACTATTTTCCTTTACAAGATCAACAAAGTCAGTAACAACTATCACACAACCGAGTTAGGTAGGTACAAATAAATAACGCAATGACACAAAATATTTAGACACTACCCTCGCAATCGCTATTTTGATAAAAATGTGACGAAAATCTTTTTTGTTACTACTCCAAAGAATTTAAATATTGAATATGAACACAAGCTGTAAAGAATATGAATTTTAAAAAAAAACGTTCTTTTCGTTTTAAATTTCGAATATTATTTTATTACAAAAATCGATGTGTGTATCGGTATGTACATAGTATATGCATGCAGTAAAAAGCGGTTATTTTAATATTACAAACAGACATATCAATTTCATTTATCTGTATAGTAAATTGTAATGAAATTATTTGGACGCAATATGGTGAGTTTAAAAAAATCTATAAATGTAATCTTACTAATCATGTTTAAATCCAAATACAAACTAGTTTCTTTCAGTTAGAAATAGCTAAATGGGATCAAAGGTAGCCTTGTTCAAAAATAAATTATTTCGACTGTTCAATACAAAAAAATATTTAAAATTATCACACTTTCATTAATTGATTTTATGACTAACTTAATTTTAGTATTTTTTTTTTGAAATAAAAACGCTATTCGACGCTAAAAAAACGTGACGTCACAATACAGAATCTCGTACAAAACTCATACCAAAACTGTCGTTTTGAACAGTTCGAAAAAAGTATTGAATTTGACTAGTTGTCAAGTGCCCAATTGCTAGTAGTAATATAGAGTAATAGAGGTACTTAGCAAAGGAGTATAAAACTGATAATAAGGAGAAAAATAAAAGAAAATATAACTTACAAACAATCATTTTATTATCTATTCATAAGAAGTACACAGCCGTTTTTAAATAAATGAACGTTTCATATTATACCCTAATAATATAATTACTATAATCACTTACAGTATGGCAATAATCAATTAAATAAATAACTATCAACAATATTCATAAAGATTAATATTAAATTTTACATTAAAGTAATGCTAGAGAAGTACCATTCGCGGGATTTTTATGACAAATAACTAAGGAATCCTTGCGTCGCCAATTACAAGTATATTGTAACTTTTGTCTAGGCGAAAATTGTTCCGTAATGTTAATACAATGGCAGTGGTACCTTCCAGCGTACGCTATACATTAACTACCTATGTTTAAACTGACTCCGTTGACACAACTTGCCACTTCGAGCCGTTCACGTCACTAAACATAACATGTACCACTAAAGGACGAAACGACGAAACATAAAGTACAAGTCAGATCAAATGAGTACTACAATACATTTAAATTATTAAAAACTTTAAACTACATTTTCACGTCAATTCAGCAAGTAAAACAACGAGACTAGGTCCCGTAAATACTCAAGCGTAACCATTCATCGTGTACTCAAAGTACAATCACAACACCATACAACAATATTGTAAAATTAAATGCACAATCAAAATACGCCTTAAATTCTAATCTGTGCGACGAACAATAAGGCACAAATTGGCAATCATATATCACAACAATACAAAGATTCAATTTACAATCTTCATTAATACGAACATCGCCGAACGATGCCGAATGTTGACGAGACATTTTCGAGCATGATGTTACCGCCTACCACAAAATATCGCCTGACATTCTGTACAATCCCCTCGGTATAAATTCTCTCAATAAACCATTCGACTAGTTAACACTTGAATTTCTTAATACGTCATTTTCGACTAATTACTCTATCACTTACATCCTAATCTTACGTTTGTTAATATAAGAATGCAATATGGGCTCTACGGCAACGTAACAAGATACGTTTTTCAGCGCACAATCAATTTGTTCTAAGACTTGTTGGTTCACTTGGTCTGCAGAGTGAGGGTGGTGATGAGCTCTTGGAAGTCGGTGACGTACCATAGAGCTCGCTTCTTAACCTCCTCACGAACTACGTTGCCTCCGAAACCTTTAACATAATAGTTTAATGTTAATATTATCAAGGGAGAAGATGACATCAAAAACTAAATTAGATATTAATAAAAGTAAAACAAAAGTTTAACTTTTTGTAGTGATATTCGAGAAACTATTTGCAGCAGTTGAATTAATTATCAGTCTAACTTACCAATGAATCCATCAGCGGGCGGGCTGGCCTCAGCGTCGGTGGCTCCATCTCCAATCATGAAGAGCCTCTGGTAGCCATACTGCTCCTTCAGTCGTCTGACCACCAGGCCCTTGCCACCAGACCGAGAGGTAGGTTCGTTTTCATCGAAACCCGCGTATTCACCTGGAACAAGAAAACATCATTGGTTAATTTATGTCAAACAAAATTAATTTTATTCATGCCACTGGTAGAAATCTCTCACATATTTTGTAGAAAGGCGTCGAGAAGAACAGTCAATATTATCCTATCTTATACATTGAACAATTACCTACATTAACTAAATTAGACTAGAGCGTCATAAGAAAGATTTTAAATGTAATTAATAGTTCATTTGTTATCATTCTATTGTCGGAATGTTGATGTGAAATAATATTGTGCAAGTTTATCAAGGTAAATCGATTTAGAAAAATACAATAATATTGCCATTAAACATACAGATAGGTAATTAATGATATTATTATTATCTTAACAAATACTAGATAAAATCAAATCCAATCAAGACGCAAACAAACCAATTGAAGAGATGGTAGGATTATTTCATGGAAAACAGGCAACATGTGAACCTTTATTAATAAGTTCCTACTTTGTGGTATACCCACCATTCATAACAATAAAATTGTGACCAACGTAATAAGAACGATAAATATGTACATGTATGTACAATAACACGCGATTTATTCTCGTATCAATCGGCGGAGATACGCAAACGGGGCAATCTTTACAAAAACATAATGTCATCAGTGCCCTAGTTGCTACAAACAACACGGAACGCAACAACTGCGCGCGCGCCCGTCAGAACGCACGCGGTGAGCGCGTGCGCCGTGTCAGAGACCAAGCAAGATCAGAAGTCTTGGTGAAACTATCTAGAGCTAACATTAACCTTGTCATCGAGTATTCCGTTGACATTACTAAAATGAACTTCTATTATTTTAATTAATTAATGACTTTATCTTGGGTGTCTATGTATTTGCATGCGTGATCCCTAAGCACAATTGCCAAGTAACGTTAAACATTGTTAGCTAAAAACATCTGTTACCATATTTTTAATACAAAAAACAAGATAATAAAAACATGATAGTTTGAAAACACCTCATTCATGACTCAGCTCGCAATTAACGATTACAAAGATATATTTTTCCATACTGCGTCTTCATCAATTCTGTTTAAACATTTTGGCTATCACTAACAATGATAAAACACTGAGTAATGGAAACTTGTATACTATCAGTTTTATTAATATTATATTGATCCGCAAATAGCGACTGTATTAAGATAGCAAAATATATGCCTAATCCTTATAATTTTAATATGCGAATATAAGGTAGAAAAAACATTTTTATTAAGTTAAGTATAGATTCATGAAATCAAGATAAAATTGACATGAGTACAGATAAACCATGATCTAGATCAACATGAAATATTTTAGCCGTTAGAGGTAACGAAACCAAAAGAACAAAAATTGAAGTGTTTATCGGATAACTTATACAATCTTGCACAAGACAAAATCTGGTTTGCATAAACAAAGCTGCGATGCACTTCTCACCACTTTATAAAAATAAACTTTACTACCCAACATATAGGGTACATTTTATTGTTAATATTAAAAAGTGAAGTTATTATCTATTGGAGCGTTGCTGGCGATGACACTAATGACTCCTTGCTGGAGCGAGGCCGGGAACAATTACGTCAGAAAGTGTTATATTGTTTATTACAATAACATTAATAATATTTGTATCACGCGCTCTGCTAGGGGTCTGACGACAATAACAGGAGGACCTATCAAACGTAATCTATCATTATTTATGATTATAATTTAGGTACTACGCAAGAAACACAACGAGAAGAAAAACAACAACTAAGTTCTAAAGTAGGCGTACGATTTTTCCTGCTGTTTATCCTTAATGAAAATGTTCCTTCTAGGAAAAATAAACGCACCTAACGTATTAAAAATAAAATTATTTTATTGCATTTTCCTGTAGTTGCAACGATAATGATGTTTGGATTCATTAAAATATCCCAATGCCTAATACTAAGGCTAAAGACGGGCGTGGTAGCTAGGAATGTTGCGCAAGAGCACTGAGCTTAGTAACAGTAAGTAATAAAGATAAGTACCCCCTGCCATCAGAAGGTTAATTAATCCATATCAGCTGATTATTATCTTTTGTTTTTTCCTATTTCTTACAAATAGGAAAATTTTCGCGATTTTATCAATGTTTTGCTTACTGTCCTTATTTATGATAGTGCGATTACGATAACAAGTCACTAGCCAATTTCTGAATACAAATATTTAACTATAGTTGCTATGATTCAATCTGTACGATAGTGAATTTTCTATCCTAAGAATTACTCAGTAAATTGAAATCTCATACAAATAATGTGAGTTCATACTCATATTTTATTTATCAATCTAGAACACATGTCAGATAAAACGATACGATAATCGTAGATGTTTTGATGAAAATAATCTACTGAGTCAAATAGATTTAGCAATAACACAAACATAATATGTGTTTAATTTAATTAATCATTTTAGAAAACATGCTAGAAAGCTAGCATAAAGCAATCTAGACTTTGAATAAAACAGTCGCAATGTTATGTTAATACTTATTTTCTTTTCCAAGAAACATTCAAGTACATTTGAACGTGCTTCCTCTACCAGCGAGAAATCGATTCCTTCTGCAGTAGGTTGCACTACCGGTTTGCACGTGACAAGATTGCCTTATTTACTGCGTAATGTATAATATACCACGAATGTCTTTGTCAGTGCGTCTTGTATACACAAGACAATATAAGGCTATAGTTACAATATTTGCTATGTTTATAAGCACGAGGGCAAACAGGTGCCTATTTTTTTATAGCTTTATTTTATTATTATTTAATTATATTATATTGTTCAGCCTAGAATACAAATAATCTAATCACGACACACAAAAAAATTATAATATGTATAAAAGTGGAACTGAAGCAATAATGTCGTGTTCATATTTCTGGCTTAGTTTTGATAAACTATACTCTTTCAGCAGTGTTTTAGGGTTTGTTATTGGGTTCCAATAAGATTTGCTAACATATTATTTAAATTATAAACAGAGTAATAAATCACAAATGTACTTTGTAACTTTGCGAATCTCACGTGTGCGTTTTAGCACAGATGGTCAATTGACTGATTGACTCAATTTACCAATTTGTTATAAATGATTGGCCAATTTTGACGACGAACCATTTCGACTCTACGAATAGAATTTATGAGATGGTTGAGAAGTTCTGGAAAACCACAGCATGCTTTGTATGGACAAAAATAATGATCAATTTAGATGCTTTATAAGACAAAGATACAAGTTTCTTTGTCTTATAAAAATCGTGCTTAGTAACAAATGTTCAATCAGAAATGAAATAAATAATTTTAGCCTTTATCGCTTTATATCTGTAAATATAAATAACTTATCAGACCCGCCCACGCACGAGAATCAATAACTGACTTTATAAATAAGACAATTAGCGGAGGATTTATTAAGATAAATGATAAATGATAACAGAATGCGTTTTCTAAAAGTTCTGGATAATAAGTTACTTATACTAAGCCCTATTAGTTGCTACGAATGATATTGAATCATCGGCACAATATGACACAAGACAATGCCTGCAATGTTCTAACCCGTAATAAATAAACTTCTCGAGCCTACTAGAAAGACTTAGTGCATCGAATGGCCTAGAGTCTACGCTAATCTTTTGTACTAGGCCTAGTAAATTACATCAATCGATTGTATGTCTTATTGATAAATTGAATACCTCTTGCCTCTTCGCACAAATCCTTAAGAATGAAACTCGTCGCGTCAATGGCATTATCCTCGACTGGTATTAAGTAAAAGTGCTCAATGTTTACTTGTATATGTTCTTGAAACAATTGTTTTATAAAGTGCCAACCGATACGATAGTGGACTGACCCACTTCGATTCAGGGGCACGTCCACGTACCACGTGATTTCGTCATCTTGCAAAAGGAATACAATTATTAAATAACAATGTATTCTGATCGCAATATAGGTTTATTTTCCAGTGTATTTTAAAAAAAGACTTTCTACTTCTTTGCAAATCGTCTCTTGGTCTTTAACAACTTTTAAGAATTATTATTAATATTTCTTGATAAACAGTGTGCCGTCCAATTTTTATTCTAATTAACCTGCGATACTGAGTATAATTGCCGATAGGTCAGCAGCCGTTTGAGACGCACTGCCTGATACTGTCACACAGTACTTTGAACAGACCACGGTTCTGCTTCATGACCTTATCATTCCAGAATTTTCTGGATTTATGTAACCTCGTGTTCTAAGCTACGAGTAATAAGTTTAATGAGGATATGATAAAGCTGATTAATCTCAAATTTGTTAGTGAACATGTAAGTTAATGAAGTAATTTGGTCTTATCCATATAATGATTTAGCTTTCTAATAAATTGACAGTAATATTGAAATTAGCATTAGCAGCAAAATACCATTCTTGAAATAGTCCTTAATTGCGATAGATATTATCGCCATTTGTAAGTGTAGTAATTACATCATAATAATTTCGTTTCGAGAGAGTGACCTTTAACCGTGATAGTGGCGACCTTATCAACTAGACAATATAACTCGATAGAAGTACCGCATTGATATCTCCCGTCACACGTGTGTGGTATCTACGATATGGTGAAATAGTCATAAGTGGCTATTAAACATAGGTCACAGTGAAATCACTAAATATAAGATAGCACAAATGTACATGTTGAAGAAGATTTTTTATCCCTTCGATAATAAAAAAGCTACAATTTCAAAACATCCTTTAGAATCAACTTGTAGATCACACAATGTTCTTCAAGTGTTTCAGTAAGTTACGAAGATCTGATGATTAGTCTGTCTAGTTGTGGATGAAAACGAGCTGAATGATGATAATGATGATACGAGAACAATGATACTTCTTTGAAGTAAGTATAATTAAAGGCACTCACCATTAAAATAGAATTTAAGTCTATTAGCGAAGATGTTGGTGAGAGGAATGCCGAGCAGTTCAGCTACTGGCTCGATGAGACTCCGGAACCCGCCGGAGACCAGGTACACCTGTACTCCTCGCTCATGCAGCTCTTTCACTAGATCCCTGGAAATATTAGAGGAAATTAAACGATATTGTAAATGTCCCAAAAAGCATCAAATTTTGGCGAAACACAACGATCCTTTATTAACATTTTCGCTGTCTTTCATCGGTTGATAAAAAGGAGATAATCATACAACGAGCATAAAGTTTTCAGTTACATAATCGTAATACAGTCTCAATGAGTATTGCATAACGTTCGCATATTTATCCAATCACCCGTTAAGTAGGTACCTATCTCAAATTACAGAGCTTCTATTCTTTTTAGCAATGATAATATTGACAGTGAAGCTCCTGGTGATAAGACCACCACTCCAGAAACTCGTAATGTTATAAAAAACAAACGTTACACTTTCTTCAAAGCAGACCTAGATTTAAACCGAATAAAGTATTTCCAGAATAAAGTGTTAAGAAACAAAATAATCAAAAAATAAACAAATAATACAGAGGTCAATTACGCACGCGAAATTATCACGAAATATCAGCTGTCTTGGGAGTAACCACAGTATTGAGGTCAGGAAATCAGTGATAAGTGAGCTTGAGAAGCGGATCCAAACCAGTTAAACGATCTTATTTATTTTACGGATCACGTGGAAAACACTGGCTGGGTGCAATCTTTATTTTACATATTATTGATTTTTGTTTTCATTCTTTTTTTTCTGCGTTAAAAATATCGATTGACCGTTTATGAATTCTGGTTGGTTTAAATAAAACGTACGGATGTCCTTGAAGGGTCATTTTTAATAGATAATTAGATCTATAGGTACCTAAATATGGGGAAAACCGTCGGTCAGTTTTGATATCGTTTCGCCAATCGCCACCAACTTGTATGATAACAACAACGCAATTAGCAACCAAAACAGTATTCACTATCCGCAACCAAAACAAGGTCTTAAAAGATTACTTTTTGCGTCATAGTGTTATTACTTAGGGCTAAAAATAAACTTTAAACAAGGGGACAGTAAGATTATCAGGTCACGAGTTTTAAATAATAATTTTATGATGAAAGTATTACACACGTTCTTGTAATCAGTATTCGTATGAAATAATAGTTCTAATGGCTATACTTCAGTGGACACTATCAGTTGCTAAGTACTTGGAAAAGTCGATATCGGTTGCTATCACACTTAAAAGGGTGTACTATCTTGAATCAATGACAAAATACTTTCAGGTGACTACAGCAATTTGTTGTCAAGAAGAAACTAAGTACGTATGACATTAATGAATAATAGTTCTGGATATTATGTAAACTTACGCTACTCCAGGTGTGAGATGAATGGGGAAGGTCTCTATGAACTCTCTGATCTGTGAGACGCTGGGTCTGATGATGTCCAACCTCTTCTTCAGAGCCTCTTGGAAGGTCATACCACCACCCATGGCTTCCGCCGTCCTAAGAAAAAACATAATTAAGTTTTATAGAATATAATTATTTTATTTATTTGTTATGCTCTATTTATTTGTTGGGAAATTACGTGCTTCTTATGAAACCAAGTGATCTCATAAAGAGTACACAACATTACTTTATCAGACCCAAGTAATAAACGTAAAATAAACAAAAGCAAAGAAATAACACAAATATTAGAATAATTATAAATAGATTGTCGCAAAACAAAGCCAAGTTCGTGACGTCGACAATTAATAATATGTAAGTAGATATTAATATAGCGACTAGAACATCGACCTGACCTACAGACAACATACGAAGGATAGACGCACAACACTGTTTATAAAAAAATCTTGGTATGAATTAATGACCGCACCGATCACTTACGTTTTACTAAGAGAAATGGTATATTAGGAGCTTGCAATTCAAAAGCCTTTAAAGTCTGCAATCGTGAATAACAAGTCTGCAGGTGATGTCTTGGGCAACTTAAGTATGTTGTGCAATGCCACTAGTTACACGTTATAGGTATCTTATAGATAGATTATACATTCCGTAGATCATAATATTCAAGTGTCATCAACATAGGCCTTTAGAGCACTCATTTGGTGCCAGTCATAATTTTAACATAACATTTCCATTCGCAAACCACGTCTTTAGATAAACCCATTGCCCCTATTTATTTTGACATGTTTATGACAAAGCGCCAATCCGATTACCTGACTATCGACAGTGCGGAACTAATTTGGCGAATTAAATAGAGATAATTTCTCGAAAAGTATTATCGAAAGATTGTCGTACGATAAAGCAGACGTTACAAGGTAAACACCGTTACTATCACTTGTTTACAGCCGCCTGGCTCAGCTGATTGGGCTTGTCAAATTGTCATTGCACATGCGATACCACGCTTTCCGTAGCCCAAATAATTCCTAAACCAAACCAACGCGTCATTTCGAAGAAATGCGCAGATTGTCAGTGCCCTAGTTTGGTAAGAATACTAAGACTGAATGTAGTTATTGTAAATGAACCAATTAAATAATTGCTAAGACTTGCGGCATTACTAAAACTACACTACCATTAAAAATTAATGTAATTAGTTCACAGAATTTTGTTTATTAATTGCTATTTGATTTTACGATTCGCCTACTCATTGGGTTTTCCGAAAATCCCTTAACTTAAAGGGACTCTTATCTTCCAATTAACGTCATCGTCTACTGTTTAATAAATATTTAGTGATAGTTGTTGCTATCATACAACTAATTATGTGTTTAGGCACTGAAAATAACAAAGGTACTTCAAGTAGGTGTTGGTTCGTTAATCGAAAACAACGCAAAAGATATACGCAAGGTTAATTCTTTGATTACTAATGCTGAATGCGAACGGATTCAATTCCAAGGTACTGATACAGCAATTGTTTGTGCGATTTTAAAATTCTTCCATTATCTTCAAAACTGCACCTTTCAATCATGAGGAAGTAGATTTACACAACCTTCATATTATCGATTTTTATGGAAGATTTCTAAAGAGGAAAACAAATAAAACGTTATGCGAACTTGGACTTATATTTTGCAAACTTTATACTCACAATCTCTTGACTTCATCTCCCTTTCCGCAGAACTTGGCCAGCTCGTCAATGCCCTCGTCTTTGATGACTGTGGAGTCGACATCGAAGCACACACAGTCCGCAGTACGGAACAGGTCTTTAATGGACTGCTGGGGAGACATCACGCTGATGGAAACCAGCGACAAGGTCTTCAGGGTCGCGTATTGGATGTTGGTCTTCAGGCTGTTGACAAAAATACTTTTGTTAAGTCTTTTGGAAAATGAAAATCATATGACAAGTTTAAAGGAACCAAAAGGGGTGGAATGCGCAATATTGAAATATTTACTTTGATTTATAGTACTTGGTCTCGAAACTGCTGATGACTTTTTGACTACACCGTTAGGAAGTTAGATTAATCACCATCGAATAAGTCCCACCATAATGGGCGCTCAGTACACTAATGGAACACCTTCTCAATATTCAACTCTTTATATAAAACTTTGCGCACGAAATATTTGTGTACACAAGGTTTGAGAGCAAACATCTATCTTTTTGTTTACTAATATTGTTTATTGTCTTGCCATCACATGATGTTGTCATAAGATAATTGACAATTCTAATTTTATCAAAAAGGTGAAGTTCAATAACAAAGTTGCGCACGGTCGCGGTCGTGCGAAGATGAAGTCTTTAGTGTGCAAAACGGATGGAAGGATGAAGTAGTCGTTTTAACTCGTCGAGTACCGGTTTTATAGACACAATTAAAGAACAATAGGTCGCGGTCCCCGGTGACCGCTTGGTGTTTGACAGTTTAAAGTGTTGTTTAGGGTAATTACACCCAACGAAAGGATGGGAATGACCCACCATTATACAGAAATTTGAGGTAAGAAATGCTTAAATAATTACTTATGATGAGACATTTTACTATATTTTTTCATGTTCTTATAAAATCATCAACTTTGATAAATTACACAATGTTTAGGAATACTTTTTGGCACTTATTTGCACGATATTGGTTTTTTATATGAACATAATTAATATGAATATTAATGCACTGTACCTTGTCCCGCAGACAAAACAACACAACGTTAACAATATGAAACAGTTTACGCAACATGCATTGAAGTAATTCATTGTTTCCTAATTAACTTGCTTTTATACACTAAAAACCACAAAAACAGGGCACCATTTGATACGACTATCATTCAATTAATGGTACGATCGAGTGCAAACTGCGGCTAATTGACCTAATAACATTTTATTAGTACTGAAATAAATAAACTCACAAAAAAGCGTCCATTATTTTTTACTATATGGGAAGTATTCAAAAATCCTACATATCAAACACGCACTGATTTATTGGAACAAAGCAACAATTCAAAACAATTACCACGTTAAACGCCATGGGGGTCACCGGTGACCGGCGTTAGCGGAGGATTTACCTTCAACAGTTTTTTATTGGCAAGTCTTAATTTTATAGCATTTTTTTTCTTTTTTCGAAAATTAATCGATAAATGTATACATGAAAAATTATAATTTTAATTTTTTTTCACCCGCACAGCCTACTACAGATTTAACATAGTGGCTGCCGTGTTAGAATGCAATATACTAATAATTATAATTATTAATAGTTATTCTACGGACTAAACGGTTGTTTATCATACTCATGTCTTTGAGTACCACTAGGCAGAATAAGGCAGGCAAGTAATTCCGTCAATCACTTACGTTAATTTATTTAGTAATTTAAATATTAAATTGATTAATTAAAGGTCTCGAAATCTGTACAAAACTTTAAATTAATTTTGGAAGGAGTTTAACGTAATTTACAAAATGAAAAAAAGTTGGCAACATGAAATTACCACCAGAATTCAACTCATGCGCATGCACAAAAACCGTTATAAAAAAATCTACCTGTATAGGGCCATCTTTGTTGTCTTCTTTTACTTTTTTTTAACAAAATTACAGTGAGCTGATGCACTAGTATCGATTTCTATCGATCTTTATTTACTTATCTTCCGTTAAAGGTTAATAGAGCAATAAGACCCACTTGGCGGGATACACCGAGAACACGCCTCCGTCGAGTGTGATATCACCGAATACGGCACATTGACGCGTTTATCGACTTATATCCACAAGACTCCCCGAGATAAACTGTAAGGCGAGCTACAGCACTACCATCTGAGAGCTACGTACTATGAACGACGTCACAACACTGTCTTCGTTCAAAGACATACGGCCAGACGAGATATTCGCTTCGAAAAGCAACAGTGGAACGATAGCTATCTCGCTCTCGCGCAATAGAAGAGTATGGAATATTTTGTGGAACCACTTGTTTTGCAAATTGCGTCGAGTGCAAAAGCGATAAACTTTGATGATAAAAAAAATATTTTGTTATTTACACAAAACTAAAAATACAAAGGAAATGCGAGTGCGTAAACGATAATACCGAATAAATATTTACATCTGCAAGTATGAGACATAATTTATAAGACACAAAATATAGAAAACCAACCTCATTTTCTATCATTACATTATTTATATATCGCGATCGTAGCTATGTTATATTAAAAATTATATTATGTGTTTTAGAGAAAATTTATTTTGGTTATCATATTTTTTTTAAACATTTTTCTTTCGAAGTGTACTAAATTCTATTCGAATTACTAAGCATATAAAAATAGCCTAGGTCCTAGGATCTTTTTCACAAAAATAAATAATATCATTTATCATTTTTAATATCATACAAATAAATGAACATAAATAACGTAACGAAATCCTGACTCACACTTGTGTGGTACTTCTTGAGTCAGTCTTATAAAGTGGTACTTTGTTATGACGCGGCGTGGTACTTTTAGTGACGCGAAGTGGGTGTGTCTAGTGTTATCACATACAAGTGCCACTTGTTACGCAGACATATTGACATTAAGATAGACATTCCCAGACATAATTTGGTACCTGACCTAGCAACTATATCTTGTTTTTCCCCAAAGTACCATACCTATAATTTATTATATTATTATTTTGAGTTTTATTTACAGCGTTGGAGTGATTATGCTACTAAGAATGGAGCATGTTATTATATCTTACTTTACAGAATTATTGTGGAACATATTAGAAATAATGTCTAGTGCCTTGCCAAGAGAGATCTAGTCACTTATTTATTGTTCCATTAAAACCATTCATTCTATGTGCCATAGATATCTAAATCAGAAGTACCTCGGTCCAACCACCTGGTAGCACATGACATATTTAATTAGCAATTATTATTTTATTTTTATTTTACCTGATTATTGTTATTATTTCCAACATTTACTCACAAGGTTATCATAATAATTATCTTGTGTCTCACACGCCTTCAGCGCATGACTATTTACATTGCTCATTGATAACATAAATTATTGAACTTAAGATAAATAAGACAACATGTAATTTTGAATCTTCTTACGTACAGTACATGTCTTGAAATAGATCATATTTATTAGTTAGAAGTTCAGTTTATACACAATGAAGAATTATCTACTATAGTTTCATTAAATATAGTTTTAACTATACCGATTATGTAATCAATAATATAAGTAATAAGTATGTATAGTTAAATGTCCCTCATTTAGTGACGGAATAAATAATAAAAATATTATTGTTTTTTGTATCATAATAAAAAAATGTCTATGAATTAGTAAACAAAATACGACTAGGAAATTTACTTTTTGATAGTGGGTCATCAACATTTCCATTATAGCTTTGTGTCATAAAATATTATCATTCAAGGATTAGTACAATCAACAAAATAATGTCATATGATTTTGTCTACATTTGATTGATGTTAAGGACTTAGTAAATAGCAATTGCATTATCAACATAAAAACAAGATTGAGGTATCCAGATTAAACCGATTTTTACTAAAACTGCAATAAGTGCTATCTACAAAGAGGTGCTTAATTAAAAATAAATATTTGATTGTAACTTTATAATTTCCAAACATTATGTTGAAGTACTGATAAACTATGCACACAGAGCCTGATTCTGTTTGTTTGCTTTCTCAGTTAGTCACATAAAAATGTTTACCACACAGTAATTTTCATGTAATAAGATAGTCATACATTTAGTGCAGCAATCAATCAAATAATTATTAAATGCATATTTTTTAATAGCCCTCAAAATACTCACTTAATAATAGTCCAAAATATCTGAGCAGTTCACATCACTTTATTTTATATTTCAATATAAGATAATAGATTAATAAAACAGTGTTGACTTACTGTTAGATCCTCCAAGATAAACTAATAAAAAACTGCAGTATAAACACTTTTATAATAACCAGTCTGCCTTGCACACCTTCTCTATTGCAAATCTATGATAAATTACCTGGTATTTATAATACAGATAAATTGTCACACAAGAAACATCGACCGATTATGGTTACAACGATAACAACACGCTATGGAATGACCTTACTACTGAAGGTCAATAAATTCTAAATGGCAAGTCATACTTACATCGGTAAGATTCTAGATTGTTCTCGAAGGTGCCCTTTTTGAAGTACAACTGTATTTTTGTTAGATATGAGTCATAAATTGTTTTTGTTTGTGGAAAACAGGTGTTATGGTTAAAATTCCTAGTTCAAGGTTATCAAAAGCAAGATTTTATTACAGATATGATCACAATTTTCTGACTGTAAGATTATGGATTAATTTAGTATAATGCTTGGTTATTTTAAAGGGCCACAATAATGGAATATACATAGTTTTAATTTAAATTCAAGTAAAAATTTAAATTACGCACCAAACGAAAAAACACTGTTTTGACGTTTGCGCGCTGACAGCCGGAGATGACATGACATTCTTTCCAACCGGACAATCAGAAACTGGTTTAATAAACTAATCATAATTTCACGACCACATGATTTTCATTCGTAAATACTAATTAGATAAAGATTTGTAATTAATTTAACTGTATATTTTTCTTTAATAAATATTAACGATGTCAAAAAATAATTACACTAAACGAAATATTATATTATGATTTGGAATAATGATTCTGTTCCTTGAATTAATTTTCGAATGTGCCTTAGTTAAGGTTAATATCGATAAGGCGGGAAAAGTCGGAAAAAAAACCGCAAAAGAATTTGTTGAAACTCGATGGGCGAAGATCTTTTTCTAAAATAATAACATTAAAATCGAGATATTTTTAGAAATTGCTTGCTTTCATATTAGTTTATGCAAGACTAAGAATACATTATAACAGAATGAATGTCGTGCCACGAGAAAAACGAGTTAAACCTAAAATGAAATCAAAATATAACAACGATTTCATAAGAAAAGATACGTCGTTAGGTTGGTTTTTTCACAATACTTATATTCACAATATGTCTAAAATAAAGAATCGTTCCCAATTTTCCAGGAATACGAGGAGCTACTTCGTTGGTACCATTACACCCGTTTAGCGCTCCCAAAGTTACGTCTACATCAAATAAAGCACCAAAATATCAGTTTGATAAAGATGAAGTACCCCTTGGATCGACTAGAAGGCCTGCTATGGGCCCACCATCAGGACCACCGAAAAGTTTCAAACGCAAGTTAGTAAAAAAATATTTCCTATCTGAATAAATGCATCGGATTTGATTACAAGGTATATCTCTTTCGGTTTTTAACCCACACTCTTAGTAACTTTACTCGATATTAACATAACATTTGACGTTCAAACTCCTGATGGAGTAGAAGTAGGTATAGGGCTGGTATAGAATGGTAACTATTTAATTAGTTGCTTGCTTACTTACGAAATCCCTAGGATCATACACTCAGCCTCATCACACCTGGAGTCCTCATCCAGCAGTAGACCTCACCCGAGGGTGCTGGCCAGTGACTCAGCGGCAGTAGACACGTCACACGATATGTGCACTCCGAAGAACAGGCCCACCGCACTCCGGTACATTAGCAGTAGCAGCAGAGGTGAGCATTACATTTATTACCTTATTTCAAGTATTTGCTAGGTACCTACTGATGAAGAGTACTTATAGTAGGCAGGAATCTTAACACCTAACACGTTTACATGCATTATTTTTCTCTTGTACTTGAATCTAATAGGTAACTATGTATGTACGTATGTATATAGAGGAACACGTGTTTTAAACCCTTCAAATTCCGTCGGTCAAATACCTACCAGGTTTCCTTGAGGAAAAAACTGAGGAAAATATAAGAATAGAGAAATAGGTGAACTGAATAATAGGTACCTACGTACTTCCCTACCTAGTTATTAGAAAAAAATCTTATACAGTAAGTGCGTATATCTACTTACCTATATCTATTTACAACACTTCGAAACTTTTAATTGGAACGTTTCTTGATATTGTATCGTTTTACGGCATATTTCTGGTTCTAAGCGGAGTTAGTAACGCGGTCTGACCTGCACAACCCGTGCTCCAAACTAGTTGTAAGCAGTGCATACTGTGTAGAGTTATCGGTTGCTCCAATAATGTGGGCCACATGTGCTGATAGGTGCCCACTGCACGGTTTAGTTGTCCTAGAACATTATATCAACATCCGAAAAAGAATGAATTTAGTTTATCCAATGTTATGTGAGTATCTTTCCTGCTCTGAACTTTAACTTCAAATAGGACATTTATTAACTAAAATCGCGGGTTACTCACGTGAATATAAAATGAGAAAAGCTCTACTAATTTACGCTGCTCATGAGGAAGAACCCCTCTGTGGGTCGAAACTAGTAGAGCTTTTCTCTCTCTTCAGTATATTCACGTGAGTAACCCGCGATTTCACTTAGGTAATTTACGATAGTTATTATAAAAACAGGTCATTTTTTATTCAGCAGTTCCACCATTCCTGTCACGTCATTATACCTAACCCCATAAACCGGAATACTTAGCATTTTATATGACCGAAGAGTTGAATTGTGTGGCGAGCGATACATATTAACGATTCTAGAACATACCTAAAGTAGCTTACAAAAATGTGCAATTAGAAATTTATGACGTCCAAATAATAATAATAAGTCAGGAACATTTTTCAACAGAACCGTCTGCTTCTGATATTTTTACAGGTCTACTTTTACCGGGACTTCTTGTTATCGCACAAAGTATTGTTTAGGTTGGCATTGGTGTAAAACTATGTAAGTAACCGTTACTAACGTAAAAGGGAAAATACCAAAACCTCGGGTAGGCAATTGATAAATAAATAATTGTGTTGAAGATAAACTTGGTACCCTCTGTGGGGACTGGGATAGTCCCGTGAATATCAGGGAACTGCTAAGATTCAATATTGATATTAAAGTTTCGTAATAAAATAAGATATTGAATAGTACCTACCTAATAAAAGGTGCAATTAATTACATAATCCAAAGCTGCATTAACATTGCTTTATGTAACAAATCTCTTTTAAAAAACAATTAGTGGTCCTGTACTTATTCATGTTTTTGACGTGGTTGACATCAAAGAGTTACCTATACCTAAATAATTACATTCCCATTGGCTAAACGTTCAGAATAGATAACAACAATAGTTTCTCCACCAATTGGGAGCTAGTTACAGAAGGGGTTATCGGAATTACGTGGCACTTTTTAGACACTTGCCTACAGTTAACTTTGTTACTTATGTAATTTTTGCACACTACAATTTTATGCGCAGCTCTAGCGTTTTAAAGTGTTTTACACACCACACGCTAATAATATTTCATCGATTTAATGGGGATGATGACAGGGTATGAAAATTAAAAATATAATTAGTCCGTAAGTTAGGTAATGAAAAAACATTAGACACGTATTTTTTTATTTTGTCGTATAATAAAACAATACTTAGATAAAACGAATCAAAGTTTAGGAGTGGGGGCTAAAACGTCATTCCTTAGTATAAAATGTACTGAGAAGTGACGTCACGCGACATTTCAAATCAATATATCTTCGAAACTATTCGTTTCTGTGAGAAAATAAAAAATACGTGTCTAATGTTTTTAAATAATCTATCAGATGGACATTAAAATAAAAATTAGTCGTCTACCCCAATGGGGTAGACGACTAATTTTTATTTATGGTCCGGTTATACAAATCGATACCATCTTATAGGGTAACCTGCAAAGGCCGGTATGGTCCGGTTATACAAATCGATACCATCTTCTAGGGTAACCTGCAAAATGTTATCAAACTAACATTACCGAGCCTTACATGGTACATATACCTACTGTAAGGCACTTCCGACGTTTGGCTGCACTTCCGACGTTTGGCTCCAAGTTGGCGAGGGCGGGGGCTGCGTTTAAGCGCATCCTCCCCAACCTCGGGGGGCCAAACGCCTCCTGCCGGAGGTTATACGCCGGAGTCGTGCGGTCCATGGCCCTCTACGGCGCCCCTGTTTGGGCGCCGAACTTGTTGCGGCGTCCTGCTCGGACGCTGCTCATGTCACAGAGCCTCACAGAGGGTCATGGCGATCCGAATGATCCGCGGATACCGCACGATCTCTGGGGAGTCGGCGAACCTCCTTGCCGGATTACCGCCGTGGGATCTGGAGGCGAATGTGCTCGCGCGCGTGTATAACATGCGCGCGGAGGCACGTCGCCGGGGCGAAACTCCGCTGCCGCGCCAGATAAGTGCGTGGCGGGATGAGCTCCGGCGCGATCTCATGGCGGAATGGCAGCAGCGACTGTCGCAACCGGGGGCTGGGCTCGCTGCCATTGCAGCGGTAAGTCCCCTCTTTGGGGAGTGGCTTGAGAGACGCTACGGCGTCCTCACCTACCGCCTGACGCAGGTCCTCACCGGACATGGAAGTTTCGGGAGGTACCTGTGTCTGATGGGGCGGGAGGAAACGCCCGGGTGTCATCACTGCGAGGACCGCCCTGAGGACACGGTGGAACACACCGTAGCGGAATGCCCTGCGTGGGCTGAACACCGCCGTGCCCTCAGGGAAGTGATCGGCGATGGCGACCTCTCGCGTCCGGGCCTAGTGCAGGCCATGATGCGGAGCGAGGGGGACTGGGATGCCGTCTCCGGCTCGACGTGCAGGAGAAGGAACGGGGTGGTTTTTAGTCAGTAAGAGTCTGACACTCCCTTCCGCCTCACCCAGGCGGGAGCAGTCAATCGATGATTTTCCCCCTTAAAAAAAAAAAAAATACCTACTGTAAGTACCTATCCTACCTATCCATTGTAGGCAATAATCAATAAGTGGATGTTATGGTAGTTGTGGCGTATTTTCCTCTGTATAACCCAGTTTATAAAAGAGTAGTGTGCAGGCCAGAGTCGTGTTATCACTAAGGAAAACTAGGCAAGTGCCTAGGGCGGCAGGTTATAGAGGGGCGCCACGAGATGTGCGTGCTCAACTAACTGCCCATAAAGTGGCAGCGGCGCCAAAATAATTGGGGGCGCCTATGAGGTGCTTGCCTAAGGCGATCTTTAGGTTTAAGCTACCTGTGGTGAAGGCAAAAGAACTACGCAGATCGCCATTTCTCCGTGCTTTTTTACATTGTAGGTGGCTACAGTGGAACTCGTTCAGCAAGATCTACAAGCGTGTCAGCCGCCGACGCCAGTGTCATTTTAGGTAAGTACTACGCAGATAATTTTGCACACGCTTAAACTTAGTAATAGGTATCAGAGAGTCAGCTGACTGTGTTACGTAAATTAATCTTAATATGATAAATAAATATCTGTCTAGTTAAGATATCTGCCAATAGAACATCCACCATGATGATGGCATTTGTATAGGAATGGTAGGACCGAATACACCTGATTTATTTATCGCCCGTGCCTCTGAGCAGCAGTCCTACCAAAAATAAAGTCACGCTTTTAACGGATTACGAAGAGTAGATGATAGGTACTGACGTTCAACCGAATCTTTGAATAGTTAAAAGTAAGTGGGCAAAAGGCCCACAAAAGTATCTTTAACTTACATCTCCTTTTCAGCTATATCTGAAGGTAGGGGCATGGCTCGTGGAGAGATCGGAATAGCTGCTATTGATTTAAGACATCCTCATCTAGTGCTGTGTCAATTTAGCGATACTTTGCTCTACACTCATACCCTAACCAAAATCAATTTCTTCAACCCTATTGAGGTGAGCAACTCACAAGTTACTATTAATGAATTAGTATTAAATCGGACCCATTTTTAAAACTGTAGTCTCGATTTTACTTTTGTGGATACTGGATACATAGACAGCTAAGAGAGAATAAGTCATTATGATGTTATGTAACAACTTGAATCTCCCGATGACAACGCATGAATTAGTTGTAGATAAACGATTGCACACGTCTTTGTAAAGATTACAATATCGCCAATAATAAACATCGAGGTTTGCGGTGGTTGGTGCCTAACATTGTTCAGCAATGCAAGTTAAAAATACTGTTAAAATAAAAAACATTATCGTCGGTGGGTTCGTAAATGATTTTTAATTCTATGATATTGGCTTAAGTTAAAATTATGGATCGTCTACTACGAGAAAACCACATAATTAATATCAAAGGTAACGCCAAAGATTGCTCTTTAGGTTCTAAAACGTTAAGAACCTTGAAATCTTAGGCAATGTTAGGTCAAAAACTGCCTCAAACGCCGATTCCTTTCACAGATAATAGTGCCCCATACATTCTGTGAAGGCGTGCAACCAAATCAATTATACCAGTTGATCAGGGACCGGTACCCGTTAGTTAACTTGGTGACAGTCCAAAGGAGACACTTCAACGATGCAGCAGGCCGACAGAATATACAAACTCTGTGCGCGCCACAGTACAGTGGGGTCTATCTACAAGTTGTGCACAAGTATGTCCTCCTCCCTTTATATTCTTTGTCTAGATATAGTACCTAAGTTACTTTGAATCAAGCAGGATTTCCCATGTGTATACACCTACGCGTTACACAAAGTGTAGGTCTAGACTCTAGCCACTCTAGGAGCTAGACGTTCAAGTTCTCTTTCAGATTCTATGCTGTAACAGCGGCAGCAGCTGTGTTGAAGTATGTTGAATATATCCAGTGTATTGTATTTGCAAGAGAATCTCTGAAAATTGAATACCATTCGTCGGAAAACACCATGATCATAGGTCAGTAGAAACTTTTATTGCGTAGGCATCATTTGAAGGCGTCAATAAAATTTAATGACATGCACCATAATTCATGTCTTCCTATACCTATGCTTATTTTTTCCTTATATTTAATTGGAAGTAACGTAATCGTAGATCGGTTATTAGTACTTAATAAGTACATATTTCTTGTTCGAGATTCCTAATTCATATTCATACACGTACCCGCTAAATGCAGTTGATATGTATAGCTAAGCTACCTACCGTCGTTTGAAAATGGGAAAATAACACGTTATTATATGGGCGGGGGGTCGTCCACTACATTTCCATACACATTCTACGTACACGAGATTTATCTTGCTATCAGCGGCTTAAGGAGTCATCCGGGTCAGCCGTAGGAAATACATTGCAAAAACGTTATGATGACATCATTTTGCAACTCGGTGTAGTAAGCAGAGGTGGTCAAAAGTTCAAATTAATAGGTCCCAAAACTCTTTGTAATTTAGTTTTGTTGTATAATTAGATAAAATCATGTCGTGACCGTCATAGGGTTGACGAAATTACAATTACATTATTTATTTCCATTACGCATTTACTTACTGGCTACACGTGATGATCTTCGAAAACCAATAATATTTACTTGTAAAGTAAAACATAATAAGCTAATTTTATTTATTATCTTGTCTCATGGAGAATTTGCGACTGACGTTGCACAGTAGCCAGCGAGTAAACCTGTACACTTTGTTTTAGTAGCGTAGCAGGTATTAGTGACACGAAAAATTTGCTAAAATTGTTTATAAACTTGAAAACATATTGTCTCTATGTTTAGATGTAGGAACGGCAACTCAGTTAGAACTAGTACAGCCATTAGTCCCATCAGCTGGGCCCACGTGTTGTCTACTCGGCGTGCTCGGCCCCACCTACACTATAGGGGGCATTCGAGCGCTAAGGGCCTCTATACTCCAGCCCTCCTGCAACAAAGACTACATCGAGTCGAGACTTGATGCAATACAAGATCTGATTGACAATGACACTGGGCTTATTGTTGATTTGCAGGTAATTTTTGATCCTGTTATATTGCCTCTTAGATGTATTCATTTTAACCTATATTCCGTCTATCTTTCCATTTGTATCCGTCCATTTCTTGTCTTGCATTATTGTTAACAAAATACCAAGTATGTAGTAGGTACCTATATATTAATGTTCTAGGATGTGATAAAGAAATTAGCTGATGTTGATAAAATCCTGCTGCTATGCATGGAGTCAGCTAACCAGAACATGGACAAAGTAGGTGAGGCTCAGTTAAACCAGACATTGTTGCTCAAAGTTACCATGGATTTGGTGCCAAAGTTGGTGGAGGCGCTGAACGGCGCTGTTAGTGGGAGGCTGAGGAAAATTAAAATGGTAAGTAAGGGGCGTAAATGCGTAGAGCGAATGAAGGAAATATTGGCTCCTCTTTTAATTTTCTCACTTTTCTTGAGTATTTAAATTACATTGTCACATTGCTAAGGATAAGGATGAGACCTTAGATAAATCTTCCAGTATTCAAGTATGTGAATACCTAAACACAAAGTGCAAAAGTGTTCCTTCCTAAGTTGCATTCTGTTAAAATATAGTTTTAATAATTTCCAAAACTAGGACTTCGAGAACCCACACTACAATGAAATAGCAGAACGTATAAAAAGAATAATCCAGGATGACGCTCACTTAGAAAAGGGGGCTATGGGCAGTCTTCAACGATGTTTCGCAGTGAAGCCAGACATCAACGGCCTGCTAGATGTAGCCAGGAGAACTTATTCTGAGCTCATAGAAGACATACAGAAGATTGTAGAACAGCTCAGTGAGACGTATGACCTAACTCTGCGGTTGAACCAGAATATGATGAAAGGGTTCCACATCGTACTGCCATTGGCCCCGAAAAGTAGGAGGTGCTTCAACATAGAGGATTTGCCCCCAATATTTATACAGGTTAATTATTTGTTTCTTAATTTTTAACATTAGACAGCCTCATTAGACTGCCGAGTGGTCGCAAGTGCGATGCGACTGCCGGGCAAAGGGTCTCGTGTTCGATCCCCGGGTCGGGCAAAGAATTACTGGTTTTTTTTTAAATCCCAGTAGTAGCACGGAGTCTGGAAATATGCTCGATACATGTATGGCAATAGACTCACCCCTGAGTGTACAGTGGCATTAAGAACCGTAATGTGCACCTTTGCGTGCACCGACAAAAGGCGTGATGCTGTGTTATGTTTCTATCATATAACAACAGTTTACGTTATAGATTACCACGTCACGTACGTCACGTCACCTACTCGACAAAAGGGTAAGCAGAAATGCACATTTTAACGTACCTAATGTACTCTTGTATTATAGTAGGTACGTCCTATCATGTAAGATCCGGGAACCCTAACCGTCAATCAATGATAGTATTTAATGACTAATCGTATCAATTATCATTAGTGTGCTATTCAAATTAGTTTATTACAAGTACCTACAACTTTAATTAGTCAATTCTAAGTGATTGATAATATCTAATTAATTTTGTTTAGGTTCATCACAGCGGTGCAAGTGTTACAATGACTACAGAGGAACTAGTGGTACTGAACCAACAAGCCAAAGAGTCTTTGAATGAAATTCAAAAAATGAGCAACATGTTCGTACTTTCACTGTTTTATTATTCTAGTAACAATAAAAAATACCAGGGAAAGTCCCTTGCAAAAATAGCCACATCTCTAGTTTTATTCCTGATTCAACGAAAAATCGACTAAAGAGATATTTTAATTGTAAAATATTTATTGATTGTTTTACTTTGCTTTTAGAGTTATTTCTGGGTTATTAAAAGAGCTTCGTCCGTTCATGCCGAGTCTGTACACGCTTTGTGAAAATGTCGCAGAATTGGATGTTCTACTGGCTTTGGCTCAAGTATAATAAGATTTTTGTAAAGATTTGTCATCATTAAAATTATTATAATTTACGGTTACTCATATCGATATTTTGATTTTATCTTCAGGCTAGCTCTGTCGGGTCTTACATTCGTCCTGAATTCAACAGTTACATGGATGTAAGGAATAGCGTGCATCCTCTTTTGGATTACAACAGTCAAGTGTTGCCTGTACCAAATGATATTGTATGTAAACTCATTAATTATTTAACCACCAATGTTTTTACTTTACGATATTAAATAAATGTAATTTGTTACAGTTAGCAACTCCTGAGCATAACTTCACAATAATTACCGGGCCAAACATGGGAGGCAAAAGTATATACATAAAACAAGTTGCTGTAATGCAAGTTATGGCACAGGTCTGTTGCTTCTATCAATGACTAACGAAATATTTTAAATTATAGCTGATTGCAACTAACGGGCCATTTCCACAGATTGGTTGTTTTCTTCCTGCTACAAATGCCATTTTAAGACTTTGTGACAGAATTTTCTCAAGAATAGGCTTCAATGATAGCGTTGAATTAAATGCTTCGACTTATGTATTTGAGGTAAAAATATAAAGATACCATAATGATAATAAAATCCACGAAAGGCGACATAACAGTTGTAAAACACAAATTGTTCCAGATAAAAGAAACTCAACACATCCTGAAAGGATTGACACCTACGAGTTTAATAATAATAGACGAGTTGTGCAGGTAATTTTCGATAGAAATTCCTTTCTATGTTTGTCATATTGGTTTAGTCTTATCTAGAAGTATCTAGTAATAGTTTTATCAAAAGATTACTCATGCTTTCAGAGGCACTTGTGTGGAAGAAGGGACAAGTGTAGCATGGGCTATCTGTGAAGAACTGATTATGAGTAATGCCTTCACATTCTTCACAACACACTTCATGTACCTCACGAGACTGGAAGAACATTATTTCAACGTTGTCAAGTAAGATATCAACGATAGTTGCATGTATGGTCAGCTCGAGAGAACAATATTTTTAAATACATTTTTACTTTTCACTCCAGTCGACATACAGCAGTAACAGAGGAAGAAGTAGGTACTCCAGAAAATCCACAAAAACGGTTAGTTTACCAGCATAAAATTGAACCAGGTGTCACTAAAATAGAGCATTACGGACTGGCCCTGGCTGCTAAAACTAATCTACCAGAAGATACAGTCAAGTTGGCTCTGGAGTTAGCTGAATTAATCTCAAGCAATACTATAGTAAGTGGATGGAAGTTAAAGTAGTTAAGAGCAGGCAGCAGTACGTGCGTCACCAGTTACATGTATAAATTAAGATTGAATCCCTCAAGTGGATGTTCAATAAAATAAATATTTGTGCCTTAATTACGATTAATTTGAATCTCAATTTAAACGTCACTTATCGATTTTTTATCAAACTTGAGTTTGACGTTAGGCACGTGCCGTTAATTATGATATTTGATAATAAATGTGATAATGAAAAATCTGTTTCAGGCGCAAGAAATTAGGACTCCACAGAATGGTGATGCTCAATCTCTTTATAATCTAAATGCAACTATTCAAAAAGAATGCAGAAAATACGGCCATTCGGAGGAGACAGTGAAGAGAATAGTAACTAAATTTAAGGCAGACAATCCACAGATTTGTAATAGATTAAATGCCCAATGCGATAATAGGACTGATTGGAGCGCTGAATGTTCTTATGTACCATATTCTAAAGAAAAATCAATACTATCTAACGATGAAAGTAACAACGATAATGCATTGAAAATTACTCGTACTCCGATTCCTACATCTCTAGTTGAAAATTTAGAATTAATTGAAGACTTTCAACATAGGAATTATGCCTCAGTACAATCTTCAGAACAATTACTGAATAGTGTCATTCATAATGATGATTCTGCTGATAGAGATGATCAAAATATATCTGACGTAGAAATGATTGGAAGTGATACTGATGAACTACCTAATTTAGAAGTTAATGATACTAAACAAAACAACGCTGAAGAAAGCAATGATCAGTTTCAAAATTCTTACAACAATAAAACGCATGAGCATACACCTACCAGTCACAATACTGATATAAATGAGGAAGATACAAATGCCATAGAAACTAGTTCCATAGATTCTGAAATTGCTGAAGCTCTGACTCAAATAGTTGAAGAATATTCTTCCAAAAATGTGACTCATTCTCCAAGAAGCAGTGACATGTCTATCGACGACGATTTAATAAATGAAACCATCAATGAAATTAATGATGAACTTTCAACCGGACTTAGTAGCGTAGAAAATATAATTCTTACACCGCCAATGAGCTTTCGTGATATTTAAATGAAATGTAATGAATGTGTTTAAATAAAATAGATAATAAAACATGTATTCTTGATTTTCATTGACTTTGAGCATTCAATCATTGTGTTTGGTGAAATATTGGGTTTTCGATGTCACTATTGCACATGATGCAAGCTCAGTAAACATACAAGAAGAAATATTTTTCAGAAAAATCATACCTGATGAGGTACTTAGTTATTCGTGTTATCCTGGCTTTGGCGTGGCTTGCGTGCAGACTGGGGATGAATTCCTAATGACATAAAGCTTAGAATTGCACGAAACGTAAGTTCCATAAAATTATTTTTAACATTAACAAGAATTCTGAAAAGATAATGGTGTAAGTATATTATTACTTTTAATTAGTGCCCCTTCGCATAAATTGTCAAAAAATGAAAAGGTGAAAGTAACAATGTATACTGGAGATTGTAAATTAAAGCTCCAGTATACTTGGGTAACTACTTGGAAGAAGTACTTAATAAATACATGAAATCTGTTTATTTTGAATATTAGTAACGCAAACATTGCAGACATTTTTGAATGCACAAAAATATTAATATTATATCTATTAGTGAATGGTTAGTACTGTTTTTTCTATGAAATAGGGCGGCAAACGAGCACACGGAATACCTAGGTAATGGTAGGCAATCGGCGTCGCCCAGACACCCTAGGAGTTATAAGTGCTTTATATTGGACCTTCACACCAGTAGGTATGTAACTTCAGGGATTAGGAAATTGATGAGATATTATAATTGGACCACCAGTAACCTCACACAACGCAAGCGTTATTTCACGTCGATTTTCTGCAAGGCTGTGGAGTTGCTCCGGTCGAGCCAGAGCCAGCTCATTCGTACCGAACCATGGTTCTCCCACACAACCGTTATAAAGGTTATAATAATATAATGTGTTTGTAAATAAGTTTACTTCCTCAATGAAAAACAAGAAATATAATTATATTTTAACAAATAAAAAAGGATACAAAGAAAAAAAGGATACATCTTTGTTAGTGTTGATTTTTTTAATAAAATACTGGCGCAATCTTAGTAAAAAATGTTTCGGATGCCGTTAAATCTATAAAAAACTTTTTTATTTATTTTTAAATTTGGTGGCATTTCTAATGGCTATAGTAAAATATTTAACCTGCCAGTATTTTGTAAGTATAAGTTTTAGTCGATTTATTTTATAAATAGTCGACTAAACAGATACGAGTCGATGACATGTTTCGACTCTATGGTTAAAAAAACGTAAATTGCAAATGGCTTCGAAAGTCGCTGTGATTTTAGTTTTTCGTTATTGAATATTGCGCTATAACATTGTTTTTCTAGTGTAAAGTGAGTGTAGTACAAAATTTGGCGCTGAAGTAGACAAAGTAAGTGTATAACGAAACTGATAACATGTTTATTTTTAGTCAACCGGCGTCTGTTTACCACGCTGTCTCATAGCTTGTATCGAATGTATTTTGCAAATATATTTTGTGAATTGTTTAACGGTAATCGGTGAATTGATGTTTTTGGTGTAGCAGGCGGTCAGCCATGTCGCTGCCGCCGTACCTGCTGGGGCCCAATCCCTGGGCCACAATGATGGCGCAGCAGCAGTTGGCGGCAGCTCAACAGGCCGCTCTGCAGGCCCACGCCGCCGCCGCTGCAGCTGCGCCACCGGTGCCCCCGGCCCAGCCCCCCAAACCACATCATATACCAGAAGAAAAGATTAAGGAGAAAGGTATGAACTGTTTCACAAATATCTTAATTTTTGTAGGTTATTTTGATGATGTCGATAAGTTGATGATTTTCCCTTTACAATTTTGTCGTATGATAAAGTTTCCTGTGTCCTATTTTATATATAACACCATACATGCACTTTATACAATCTAGATTAATCATTTCTGAAGACATTTAGTCTGAGCTGTCAATGGTTATCATCTTAACCAAGCCAAACATGACCAAAATATAATCAAAGTTAATATTGAAGAAAACACAAATATATAATAATACCTATGTTCTGTAATAACTATGATGAAACAATACAGTATTAAACTGAACTTTATATTTCTATGCTTCCAGTAACTATATATTTCTAATACACAAACTTTATAGAATAGAACTTCAACATTTACTGATATAGAATAGAAAAGAATTGTTTTCCTACCATTTCACTAACCAGGTCATTCAGGGATTCATATTCATCAGTGGTTCATAATAACTGAAATATACAAATATGCATCACATAAAACAGCTTTGGTTTCAGTATAGCTTATTTGTTTTGTAATAATCATCATCACCAACAGTGTATAAGTGTCCACTGCGGCCCAAATGCTTCTTTTCATGCAGAAAAGGTTTGAGGATTAACCTCTTATCTGCCCGCATATGAGACACAATAGAAACACATTGTCTCACGTATATCTACGCTCCCGGCATACCAGGGGTTAATCACCACACTTGCTGAATGCAAGTTGATGTTTAAGTTCATAGAACTTATCAGCTCAGGTTTCTTCACAATATACCTTCACCATTTGTCAATGGTGTCTTAAATAATCTTACAAAGTACATATGACTCTGAAAAAGTAACATTGGTACCGTTGGTAGGTTTTGAACCTGCATTCTCACATATGAACATTCAGAAATCCTAAACCTCCGGCCCACCAAAATATGACAATCACATTTGTTTTTTAAGAAACTGTTTAAATGCACTATTAATGTAAAAGTAGCTTAGCTCCTAGACCATGAAACAGGAGACAATGTGTTGTTACCCCCATTTACACCAAGTTTTGCTTATTAAGACAAAAGTAATATATTTACTGTGGGGCAAATTGAAAACTGCAATTGATATTCTTCTCCATCCTATTACTAGCGGAGAATGCTGTTATTGCAAACATTTATTTTTTAATATTTCATAATATTATAGTTAGTTGTGTACAACTAACTATAAAATTAGTCAAGCATTATTTACATTTTCAATTGAGATAAAAGGTAAAGATAGATTATTTGTTTCAAATTCTTAAGGTTCTTGATACCAAGAGATTATCTTGTAATTTCTTGTAATTAGTCTTGTGATGAGTTAGAGGTACATAACGCACTCTTTTTTTATGCCACTTTGACACTGCTAACCTGTGTTGTGTGTACGGCTGTGGTTGGTAAAAAGTTGTCTTCTGATATTATTATTAACTTTGTTTATTACCTTTCCATATAGCTCAAAAATGGATGCAACTCCAATCAAAGCGTTTTGCGGAGAAACGAAAGTTCGGCTTCGTAGACGCGCAGAAGGAGGACATGCCTCCAGAGCATATACGTAAGATCATCAGGGACCATGGTGACATGACTAGTCGTAAATACAGGCACGACAAGAGAGTCTACCTTGGAGCCTTGAAGTACATGCCTCATGCAGTCATGAAGTTGCTTGAAAACATGCCAATGCCTTGGGAACAGATTCGTGACGTCAAAGTCCTGTACCACATCACTGGAGCCATCACCTTCGTCAATGAGATCCCCTGGGTGATAGAGCCGGTCTACATAGCCCAATGGGGCACTATGTGGATCATGATGCGTCGTGAGAAACGAGATCGTAGACACTTCAAGCGAATGAGGTTCCCGCCATTCGATGATGAGGAACCTCCTCTAGATTACGCTGACAATATATTGGATGTAGAACCTTTAGAGCCTATTCAGATTGAACTGGATCCTGAGGAAGATGGAGCGGTCGCTTCATGGTTCTACGACCATAAACCTTTATTAGGTACAAAACACGTGAATGGGTCAACATACAGAAAGTGGAACCTGACTTTACCACAAATGGCGACATTGTACCGTCTTGGCAACCAGTTACTGACTGATCTCGTAGATGACAACTACTTCTATCTCTTCGATTCGAAGAGTTTCTTCACTGCGAAGGCGCTCAACATGGCTATTCCTGGAGGGCCGAAGTTTGAGCCGTTAGTGAAGGATAACTCTGCGGGCGATGAAGACTGGAATGAGTTTAACGACATCAACAAGATCATTATCCGTCAACCAATCAGAACTGAGTACAGAATCGCATTCCCTTATCTGTACAACAACTTGCCGCATTTCGTACAACTGTCTTGGTAAGTCTCAACTAAGCACGATTGAAATTTATAATGTCGAATCAACAATTAAAAATTGATTTTTTTATAGGTACCACACACCAAACGTAGTGTACATCAAGACGGAAGATCCTGACCTGCCAGCCTTCTATTTCGATCCCCTCATCAACCCTATCTCTCACCGTCATTCAGTAAAGTCCTTGGATCCTCTACCTGAAGAGGAAGAGTTCCTGTTGCCTGAAGATGTGTCTCCATTCCTCCAAGAGACTGCTCTGTACACAGATAATACAGCCAATGGAATTGCCCTGTTATGGTCACCAAGACCCTTCAACATGAGATCAGGTAACTTAATCTACTGATTATTGTAATTTATATATTTGCGACTATTTTATTTAACAACATTAAGATTACAATGTTGTTGAGACATTATGAAGTATTCTTTTCACAAGAAATATTCGTTCGTAGGACGTACTCGGCGCGCCATCGATGTACCTCTGGTAAAGACATGGTACAAAGAACACTGCCCACCGGGACAGCCTGTCAAGGTGAGGGTTTCCTATCAGAAACTCCTCAAGTACTATGTGTTGAATGCACTCAAACATAGACCACCAAAGCCACAGAAGAAAAGGTAAGTCCCACACTATGTTTCGTGTATCTGTTATTTCTGAAATTGTGACATGTAATACTTTTATGGTTTGGTTTTTCTCACTGCACTGTAAATTGGGATTATTACTTATACATATGAAATAATTTTAAACTTTTTGTCCGTATTGGTTACCCATCTTAAACATTTCACTCCATAGGTATTTATTCCGCTCCTTCAAATCCACCAAGTTCTTCCAAACCACGACCTTGGACTGGGTTGAAGCTGGTTTACAAGTATGTCGCCAAGGTTACAATATGTTGAACCTACTCATCCATCGTAAGAACTTGAACTACTTGCATTTGGACTACAACTTCAACTTGAAACCTGTCAAGACTTTGACCACTAAGGAAAGAAAGAAATCTCGGTTTGGTAATGGTAAGTACAGTCTTGTATAGTCTTAATTTCAACTTATTTTTAACTTAAGTGAACAATGACGGCTTAAAATAAATACTTTTTTTGATTGAATAGTAATATTTTCTAATCTACTCATGATTATCTAGTCTATTGGGGTGTTCTCCTATCATAAATTCAGAACACTGTCTGGGCTTATCCGATAGAATTATGTCAGTCATTTGACTGAATATTTAATGACTAAGTTCCTTTTAAACAAGTCTCATTTTCCCTACTTTTAAAAGTTTGGATTACTATACCTAAAATAAGGCATCCTAACTTACAATTTACTAACCAACCTGTCCTGTTTCAGCATTCCACTTATGTCGCGAGATCCTTCGTCTGACGAAGCTCATTGTGGACTCGCACGTTCAATACAGGCTGAACAACGTGGACTCATTCCAACTTGCTGATGGATTGCAATACATCTTCGCTCACGTGGGTCAGCTGACGGGCATGTACCGTTACAAGTACAAACTGATGAGACAGATCAGAATGTGCAAGGATCTTAAACATTTGATCTACTACCGGTTTAATACTGTGAGTATTATATTATTACTGTTATTATGATTGTTTGTCGTATTTTCTCGTGATTTAATATCATTCAAATGAAGATAACTGGACGTCAATACAATCATAATTTGACTAGGTCCTTATCGTTATTTTTTCGTATAATTTTTCTTTATTAGACGAAAGGTTAATTTGAATGAAGTATAATTAATTAACTATGAATTGTATTTCATTCTCCATAGGGGCCTGTATCCAAGGGACCTGGTTGTGGTTTCTGGGCGCCAGGGTGGCGAGTGTGGTTGTTCTTCATGCGCGGTATCACGCCACTGTTGGAGCGCTGGCTCGGAAACTTACTATCCAGGCAGTTCGAAGGAAGACATTCTAAGGGTAAGTTACTATTTACTATTGTTTTTATCTACTATTAAAGAGTCTAGGTTCATCATAAGACATCGCATTAGTATAGCAAGTAACTGTTCCTGTATCTGCCGTCTACTGTCGTATCGGATTGCTATCCAATCCAAAAAGACCAAGGTAATAGAAAACCCAACAATATCTCTTGATTGAGCATCATCAGCAGTATTCTCTGTTATGGTTAGATTTTAAAGTCAACCTAAAAAGATTTAAAAGCGTTTCATAAGTCAAATGGTAGCTTTACTTAATAAATCATGAGTATATCATGTGTGAACCAAATAACAATCTGTACAAACTTATCTCTTTCAACATAGGTGTTGCTAAGACGGTGACGAAGCAGCGCGTGGAGTCTCACTTCGACTTGGAGTTGCGCGCGTCAGTGATGCACGATATCGTGGATATGATGCCTGAAGGTATCAAGCAGAACAAGGCCAGGACTATCCTGCAACATCTGTCCGAAGCCTGGAGGTGCTGGAAAGCCAATATCCCTTGGAAGGTAGGAAATGCATATATCTACTTACTGTTGGGATGTTTTATAAAAAATATTCTGTTTGGATAGTAATGATAACATATTTTTTTTACCTCTAATCTACTAAGACAATACATCCTTAATATATCTTTCCCTCAGGTCCCAGGTCTCCCAACACCAATTGAGAACATGATCCTTCGTTACGTAAAAATGAAGGCGGACTGGTGGACGAACACAGCCCACTACAACAGGGAGCGTATCCGACGTGGTGCCACTGTTGATAAGACTGTCTGCAAGAAGAACCTTGGTCGACTCACCAGACTGTACCTCAAGGCTGAACAGGAGAGACAGCATAATTATTTGAAGGTGAGATGGATTTTGTGAAGTGATAGTTTAATAATTTTGCATCCAAAGAGGTCATAAGACTATATTAATAGAAGTCATACAAGTTTTTGTAGTTGTAATTTCTCTATATATAGTTGTGTTTTCTTAATTTCTGGCCCATCCAAAGGCTGTATGAAAGAGATCCCAAAGTATTAAAATTAAACTTTAAGATTGCTTTATAAGATTTTGTAGCTCAAGAATTTAGTATTAAAGTAACACTAAATAAGTCAGAGAGATTAGTTTATTATTGTAATACAATCCCTGATCAAAATAGTAACCAAGACATTAAATTGTAACAAAACTTGTCTTTTTACTCATAGGATGGTCCCTACATTTCACCCGAAGAAGCTGTCGCCATCTACACAACAACAGTTCACTGGCTAGAGTCCAGACGCTTTGCTCCCATTCCATTCCCTCCTCTGTCATACAAACACGACACCAAACTCCTTATTTTGGCGTTGGAGCGATTGAAAGAGGCATACAGTGTCAAATCCAGGCTGAACCAAAGTCAGAGAGAGGAATTGGGGCTCATTGAACAGGCGTATGATAATCCTCACGAGGCCCTGTCAAGAATCAAGCGTCATTTACTCACGCAGAGGACTTTCAGAGAGGTATGTATGATTTGTGTCCAAATTATTAAAACTTGAAAGATAAACTAAAAATCGTAAGTTACTCACGTGAATATAATAAAAAAACCCCTCTGTGGTTCGAAAAGATCAGTGTATTCAAGTAAGTAATCCGCGATTTTTAGTCAATTTAGTATGTCTCACGATAGTTATTATAAAAACTTGGAAGATGCCATATTGTGATTCTAAATTATAATTTTCTCCTATAGGCTTAACTTTTTGGCTGAAATTATAAAGCTAACGTAGTTTTTTCCAGTATTCATAAAAATTATCTAATAAATATTGGTTATTGTGATCAGTTACATAGAGACAGCATTTATTGTTCTCAAAACCATTGTTATAATTCCTGTTTGCATACAAAAATTTTGTTTTCTACCAGGTCGGCATAGAATTCATGGACCTCTATTCGCATCTAGTCCCAGTGTACGACGTGGAGCCTCTGGAAAAGATCACAGATGCATACTTAGACCAGTACTTATGGTACGAGGCTGATAAACGAAGACTGTTGCCTCCATGGGTCAAACCAGCAGACACTGAACCCTCCCCACTGCTTGTGTACAAATGGTGTCAAGGTATGTAATAAACTTAAAATTAGTAACTAATTATTTTTGTTTGTTTTTGTCCAAGGTATGTGATTTTTATCAATAGGTTTTCTAGTATTTTAGTGTTTAAATAGTGTTTTTGTGACTGTATAATGTGATATGATGATATATCTGTATGATGTATGATTTGTATTGGGATGTTCAGTATTTAAGACATCAATTACATATATTGTAATGTCAAAAAATTTTTGTTGGACTCACTGGTGTATTAAAAATTAACTTATAATTATTAATATAATCCTTGCTTTTTCTTCTTATTAGAATAACATTATTGTTATTTGCACTTCAAAAACTGAATATTTTAAGTGTTATAACTTAGGTATTTCAACTGAAGTTTGCTTGAAGAAACCACGACAATTTTCGAGTTTGTGACTGCCCAAGGTGTGCGTTGTGGCAAAGGAGATCTGCTCAGTCGATCATCCCCTTGTTACAAACCTCACCTTGGTTGGTCGCACTATCATCAGGTGCTGAAGACAAAAGAAGACATTTTTTGTTTATAATTGTGTTTATTTGTATTTGTTACCTATTTCTAAAATATATTCTGTTAAGTGTTCCATAGAAACGATTAACTAATAAGTTTAAAAATAAAATCTATGTCACACAGTTGTGTTTATTACCTGAAAATCTATTATATAACGTAATTTAACGCAATATTTCATATTATATTGCACTAATATTAAATCCACTTACTTTTCTTACATTATACACTTTTTTTTAGGTATAAACAACCTACAAGATGTATGGGAAGTCGGTGAGGGTGAATGCAATGTCCTGCTCGAATCTCGTTTCGAGAAATTGTACGAGAAGATAGATCTGACCCTACTGAACAGACTGTTACGTCTTATCGTCGACCACAACATCGCTGACTACATGACTGCTAAGAACAACGTTATCATCAATTACAAGGTATTGTGTTGTATTTACTCGGATTATGGCTTAAAAATCATAAGTCTTTTCTCATACTTCATCCATGTTTTGTATTTTAACACCCAATTTACAATTAATTCCATGGACATTTTTATTATCACTAAGAACTTTTATCCCAATTAGAAAGCCCTAAAAACACGTTGAATATTTTCGCAAAAATTTAAACCTGTCTTTTTCTTACAGGACATGAACCATACAAACTCCTACGGTATCATTAGAGGTCTTCAGTTTGCTTCCTTCATAGTACAATACTATGGTTTAGTGCTAGACCTGCTAGTCCTTGGTCTGCAGCGAGCGAGTGAGATGGCAGGTCCTCCACAGTTGCCCAATGACTTCCTGTCTTACCAGGACAGGTCGACAGAGACAGCGCATCCTATTAGGCTGTATTGCCGATATGTGGATAGGATTCATATATTCTTCAGGTTCGTAATGATAAAAATGTTATGTATTTTTATTGTTTTATACTAAGAGGTAGTCAGGTAGGATTAGGGCATGTAAAACCGGAAAGTCATCAAAACCGGTTTTGAACATCGTTTTTTTGGTACCAAAACCGAAAACCGGAGCTAGATCCGGTTTTATCAAAAAAATCCAATGTAGTTAATTTAAAAAAGAAAACCGGTTTTTTTAAATACCCACTGAGTCTACAAATAAAACAAATTGTGAGATTCACTTCTTTTACATCCAAACCATTATAATTGTACAGATAACAATGAACTTATAATAGTATAAAAATTATTTAACTGAGATCAAATCAACAACAAATAAGTTTTTGGTATCTTTGGAACCTATTAAGTCTGCTATCAAAAATAATATATTTTAAACATAGAAAACACAAGTAGCATCTTTAAATATTAAATACAGCCAGCCACAATTACCAAAAAAAACATTATTTTTGTAACTTTGAAGACAAACTACAAAATAATATTATTATAATATGATTCATATTGCACTAAAAAAGAGATCAATAATCAACTGCGGGGTGCAGGCTCGGAGATGTTCGCAGACCCATCAAGAAATATCCAAATAATTACTGATGACACGGGTCCAACTATTTTAAAATCGGAGATATTACGTGACCAGATAACATACCCATATTACCCATCGAGATTCTCAAGCTATTGGAGGAAGTACTTGACCAATTCTTCAACAACATTTACGAAACTGGCATTCTTCCACATGACTGGCTAAAGTCTACGTTCATTACAATACTCAAAAAACAAAATGCAACAAAATATGGAGAGTACCAGATGATGAGTCTAATGAGAGATGTCCTAAAAGTGTTCTTAAACATCATACAGAACAGAATAAGAGTAAAGTGTGACGAACAACTGGGAGACAGCCAATTCGGATTTCATTCTGGTGTAGGCACCCGTGAAGCTTTATTCGCCCTCAACGATCTCAGAATCTCCATCTCTTCAAAAATGCCGAGAAATGCAAACGGACGTGCTGATAATATGTTTTATCGACTACGAAAATGCACTTCATTTAGTTAAGCATCAGGCGGGGGTAGTGGAGGGAGGCGTGAAAATGGGTGGATGCAGGCTGTGTTCGGTTCGGATACATTTAATGCCTCAATATTAATTATTTTTGTAAGTGTTTGAAAAAAATTTGATTAAAACAAAATGGTAATTGTTACTTAATAATGGGAAAACCGGAGCTGAGCTCCGGTTTTGGCTCTCAAAACCGGTTTTCAATAATCGTCAAATTTTGGCCGATTTCCGGTTTTGCGCAAAACCGGAAAACCGGTTTTACATGCCCTAGGTAGGATGTGTAAAGAATGACAGTAATGAAATGCTAAAATTCGATCATAATCAAAAAAGTATTGTTTTTAAAATATGGATAATTCATTTTGACTTCTATCTTAGCTTAACTCTTTGAGTACCGTCATTATAGACACAATTAAAGAACAATAGGTTGCGGTCATCGATGACCGCGCGGTGTTTGACAGTTTAATACTCTAAAATTTTCTTTTTCTTTATATCTTTGTAGTTGCTAAATGTAAGATTTGTTCTAGTTATTCTACATTTTAATGTGAAGTCTATAAATATATCGTATTTTCCACAGGTTTACTGCAGAGGAAGCTCGTGACCTAATCCAGCGGTACCTCACGGAACATCCCGACCCCAACAATGAAAACATTGTCGGCTACAACAACAAGAAGTGCTGGCCCAGAGACGCGCGCATGCGACTCATGAAACACGATGTTAATCTGTAAGTGATTCACTGTAAAAGTGTAAATGCATTCATTTCTTCTTACTTTACCTAGGTCAACTCAAGTCATAACTTGGGACTTACCTTTTTTTTCTTACCTTTAATCCAAAATAAAATTATTATTATTGTGAAGTATGGATAGAAGAATGAAGTGTTGAAATAATCTTATTTCTATCAGTGGTCGCGCCGTATTCTGGGACATCAAGAACCGACTTCCTCGCTCAGTAACAACTATACAGTGGGAAAACAGCTTCGTTTCTGTATACTCCAAGGATAATCCCAACTTGCTGTTCAATATGGCTGGATTTGAGTGCAGAATATTGCCTAAGGTAAGATTTTAAAACGTCTATTCGTGTTTGCTCATGCAACGTAAAATAAATCCTTTTAGTTGGTTGGGTAAATTATTATTTAAATGGGAAAAATAAAACAATAATCTTTGGATATGGTTCACTTTATTAACTCGTCGAGTACCGGTTTTATAGACACAATTAAAGAACAATAGGTCGCGGTCACCGGTGACCGCTTGGTGTTTGACAGTTTAAACCATAATATAAACTCAAATCATTCAAACTAGGTTTAACATTCTTGATAGCAGTCCAAAGTAGTACTACTGAAAATAATTGTTACATCATAGTTATAATAGTCGCCATTTACCCGCAGTGCCGCAGTCAGCACGAGGAGCTGTGCCACCGCGACGGAGTGTGGAACTTACAGAACGAGGTGACGAAGGAGCGCACCGCACAGTGCTACCTGCGCGTCGACGACGAGTCACTCGCGCGGTTCCACAACAGGGTGCGACAGATACTCATGGCGTCAGGGTCCACTACATTCACCAAGATCGTCAATAAATGGAACACAGCGCTTATTGGTGAGTTATTTGTACAATTATATGATAATAATAAATGATATTTTGCCTTTCCTGCACATTGCATTTGTGGCTCTAAAATCTCTATGAGTAAATTTAAACTTTCTTAAAAAATCACTCGATTTTCTGTTGAAATCAGTATAAAAATCTGTTTAGTAGGAAGATAAGAACTTTATTCATGCAAGTATAAGAAGCTTAAATAAATATGAATTCTAGTTAGCTTATTTACTTTAACAATGAACCTTCTCTTCACCAGGTCTAATGACATACTTCCGTGAGGCAGTAGTCAATACACAGGAGCTACTAGATTTACTCGTAAAATGCGAGAACAAGATACAGACTCGTATTAAGATTGGTCTCAACTCCAAAATGCCTTCTCGTTTCCCACCGGTTGTGTTCTACACGCCTAAAGAGTTGGGCGGGCTTGGTATGCTGTCTATGGGACACGTTCTCATTCCACAGGTAAGATTTTATTGTTGTATTGTAAGAAAATGTGGTCTCTATGTGTACTTTAAGAAATGAGTAAGCAGAAGGAGCAGGCAACCAACTGCATCATCCACTTTTCATCAGGTTAAATTAGAATCGCAACCTAGACCGTGTCTTTACCAGTCATTCATTTGCGGGAGCAATGATTCGATAATTTTCCCCCCATAAAAAAAAGACCGTGTCATTTCCAAATTCTTATTAAACAAAATAAATCAAATAATTAGTTTGATTTCGTTATTGAAATTGAGCCTCTCAATACATTTACTTAATACTCCATCTGCAAAAAATGATTTGTATATTTTCAAAATACTAAATGGATTTTGTATTTGTTTCCCCGACAGTCTGATCTTCGTTGGTCTAAACAAACAGACGTGGGCATCACTCACTTCCGCTCGGGTATGTCACACGACGAGGATCAGCTTATTCCCAACTTGTACCGCTATATACAACCCTGGGAGGCTGAATTTGTGGACTCACAGCGAGTATGGGCTGAGTACGCACTGAAGAGACAGGAGGCTAACGCTCAGAACAGGTATGATGTCAAGATTGTTTAATTTGTGGTGTATCCATCGTCTCTAATTCTCTGTAGGTAAATAATAAAACCAAGTTTAAAAATGGAATCAACTCACAAGGGAATCACTTTAAATACTACTAGGTGTGTAGTCAGATGGAAACAATTATTATCAAACATAATTATTTCTCTTTTAATGGCAATATGATATGATGAATCGCGTAGGGGTCCTGAAACCAGAGAGTCCCTGTGCTCTGGGGCGCGGCCAGTGAGTGACGCTTGCTGATCGCACTGACGTTACTACTTGCCGCGCTGATATAACGCTAACTGATCATATTGCACACATTTCCAAATACATTATTCGCATTACGGTATAAGATGGAAAGTATATGTGATATGTTCCTTTTCAGACGTCTAACGCTAGAAGATCTAGAAGACTCCTGGGACAGAGGTATCCCTCGTATCAATACGTTGTTCCAGAAGGACAGACATACGCTGGCGTATGACAAAGGATGGCGTATTCGTACAGAGTTCAAACAGTATCAGGTTAGTCACTGTTCTATGTATATTTCATAGTCTAGTAATGTAGTTGAATTGCTTCTTGTGATAATATAGTTGTGTAATGATATTTCACACAAGATTTGAATTGAAAGGTCTGTTGTTCTGTCTTTATTGTAGTCACATGGATTGGCAAAATTTCTTCGTTTTCCATTCTCCAATATCAGACGACATTCTGTCACAAATTCCTTTTGCTACCATGTGGAATTGAATGAGGAATCATTCAAGCTATCTATCTTATAATAAGAAGCACTAGACAACAATAATATTGTAAGCCAATGTACTAACTTATTCCATTACTCTCACAGGTCCTAAAACAGAATCCATTCTGGTGGACACACCAGCGCCACGACGGCAAGCTGTGGAACCTGAACAACTACCGCACTGACATGATACAGGCACTCGGCGGAGTCGAGGGCATACTCGAACATACACTCTTCAAGGGAACATACTTCCCTACTTGGGAGGGTCTCTTCTGGTGAGTGTCCTATTATATTCCACCTATAACTGTTATTTTAGAATATTTTACTATGTGTATTGTTTTGTGTAATAAAACCAGTGTAGTAGGAATCTGGTTTCCAATACTTTATCGATCAAAAGTTCACACTTTTCACATTATATTTGATATTACTCTGGTAATGGGATGAAGCACCACTTTGTATAATTCTTGTCGATAATATCCTGTACAGCATGTTAATAAAATGTCGTAAATTCTTTCCTATTAATACCTTGTATATTAAACTTCGAAAATTTACAGTTTTAACTAAATTTAAATAATATTTGTACAGGGAGAAAGCATCAGGTTTCGAAGAGTCTATGAAGTACAAAAAGCTGACCAATGCGCAGAGATCTGGTTTGAACCAGATCCCCAACCGTCGGTTCACGCTCTGGTGGTCGCCTACCATCAACAGAGCTAATGTGTACGTCGGTTTCCAGGTAAGAAAATTACTTTTAAACACTCTTTTATAAAATTGTAAATAGTTGATAGTTCAATAATATATAGGTTCTCCATATTTCTGTTTACTAAAATATTGTAGTAGTGTTTATAAATAACAGCTTTAACACAATGAATTGTTGACAGGTACAACTGGATTTGACCGGTATATTCATGCACGGTAAAATCCCCACACTGAAGATCTCACTGATCCAGATCTTCAGAGCTCACTTGTGGCAGAAAGTCCACGAATCCATCGTCATGGACTTGTGTCAGGTAATTATATCAGTCTTCATTTCTCTTTTATGGAATAGGGCGCTAACGAGTAGATGGATGGTAAGCGATCAATGCCGCCCATTGATACCCGCAACACCAGTGAAATCACAAGTTCATTTCTTCCTTGGAATCTGTAAGAAAGGACGACAAAAGTACAATTCAATATTTCTATTATAATTTATTGATTGCATGGAGATTGGTATCATGTCGGAATGGGTTCTTCCTTTTTAACTAGGGTTTATAACAGGCAAAAGGGGTTGTTACATTTCATTTGTTCTTTACTGACCATAGGAAATTACAATAACTAAACATATTCCTATACACTTTTCTAACTAAATACTTTATCCCTAGGTATTCGATCAAGAGCTAGACGCGCTAGAGATCGAGACGGTACAGAAGGAGACCATCCACCCTCGTAAGTCGTACAAGATGAACTCTTCATGCGCTGATATATTGCTGTTCTCTGCGTACAAGTGGAACGTGTCCAGGCCATCGTTGCTCGCTGATACCAAGTAAGTTTATTTTACTATATTTCTAAAACCTAAGTATTAATTTCCTTGAATGTAGGTACCCTATGTTTATGGAGTTTCGAATTCTGTTGCAAACATATATTGGCGTGTATTTTTTTTTTTAATTAGCTGCTCTCCTAATCTTTGCACAGGTGTTAGTAAATATTTGTTTGCAAAACATTCCTTTTAAATAATAATTATAAAATGTTTCGGTGATGGTTTTTTATTTAAATTAAGATGACAATCAGTCATTTTCACTCATTAATAAAATAAATATTTTCTTAATTTCTTATGATGTAAAGTTGTTGACACTAACTGATTATATCTAGTACCTATACTCGGTATCCGGTATAGCTACTCCTACAAAATTATTATAATGATAATTACAAATGTCTCACCACATCTTCCTCCCACAGAGACACAATGGACAACACGACAACACAGAAGTACTGGCTCGACATACAACTTCGGTGGGGAGACTACGACTCACACGACGTCGAGAGATACGCGCGCGCCAAGTTCCTTGACTACACCACCGACAACATGTCCATATATCCGTCACCTACTGGACTGCTCATCGCCATTGACTTGGCTTATAACTTGCACAGGTTTGTTTTCTCTGTTCTATAAGAGAAAGAAAATATTGAAATAAAACGCGATATTACCATTTATATTTCAAAAGTTTTACATCTATTGGGGATAAAATTGTAGGGTCCATTTAAATTTCGCACGAAGCGCTTCAAGCTTCCTTGTGCGTACTGCTAAAGGGTGGAATTCTTTGCCAGAGTCTGTATTTCCTGAAGGGTATAACCTGGGAGTCTTCAAGGCCCTAGTGAATAGGTTGCTTATGGGACGACGTGCTCCATTGTAGACCGCATCATCGCTTACCACCAGAAAAAAAAAATTACTTCATAATATTTCTACCTAAAAGTATTCTACATAGCTTTGCATGAAAACCAATTAAATAATGACCAATATCCCAAATATCCCTTTTTCTATCATACTAATAATTGTAATCCTTGCAGTGCATACGGCAATTGGTTCCCGGGTTGCAAGCCTCTAATCCAGCAAGCGATGGCCAAGATAATGAAGGCTAACCCCGCTCTATACGTATTGCGTGAGCGAATCCGTAAGGCGCTGCAACTGTACTCATCTGAACCTACTGAGCCGTACCTTTCCAGTCAAAACTACGGAGAGTTGTTCTCTAACCAGATCATTTGGTAAGTACTTATTTATTATACATTTACTGTGCAAAATATTACTTTAACTGCGAATTTAGGGAAAGAATTTGTAGTGACCTAACAGACGAGGCGGTTAATACTTCCAAGTCATTTATTTCAATTAGACCATAGTTGCACTTTTGAAAGTCCACAAAAAGTGAAACTATTTGCTCATTCCAAGATGTAAATTCCTATGGAGAAGAACATGCAAGAAACTCCATAGGTTACTCTTTTTCAATCAGGTTTACAATATAAGTCTCTAGTTACTTAAAATTATTAAATAACTATAAAACTTTACAGTTATTGGCAATTTCTAATAGTAAGACATATGTAACTGTATATAAGAGCTTGATATAACACTCACTTGTTCTGTTCAATTAATATAAGAAATGCTAATTGAAATTAAATCTGTAACTTACCCATCTCTCCAGGTTCGTGGACGACACCAATGTATACCGTGTGACGATCCACAAGACGTTCGAAGGCAACTTGACGACAAAGCCCATCAACGGCGCCATCTTCATCTTCAACCCGCGCACTGGGCAACTGTTCCTTAAGATCATTCACACCAGTGTATGGGCTGGACAGAAACGTCTTGGACAGGTAACATTGACTTGATTTTTATTGTGGACGTATTTGGCATTGTATTGGTAATTTTGAGCCATTGAAATCTAAAAAGACAAACAAAGAATCCATAACTACATTCCAAATTTTGACTTCTTTTGGAATATTATAATGTAAATAACAAAGAAACAATTATATTATTTTTAACGGCGAACTTAACATATTATTTGTTGTTTAGCTCGCCAAATGGAAGACTGCTGAAGAAGTAGCAGCCTTGATTCGTTCCCTACCAGTTGAGGAGCAGCCTAAACAAATCATCGTCACCAGAAAGGGAATGTTGGATCCTCTTGAGGTGAGCATAAACAAGTATTAGCCATATGATAATAGTTAAATATCACTTTAACCATTTAGAAAATAAATCTTGCAACTTTAACTCACTATATTTCTAACACAGGTGCACTTGTTGGACTTCCCTAACATCGTAATCAAAGGCTCGGAGCTCCAGCTTCCGTTCCAAGCGTGTCTCAAGGTGGAGAAGTTCGGAGACCTCATTCTGAAGGCCACAGAACCACAGATGGTGTTGTTCAACTTGTATGACGACTGGCTCAAGACTATCTCGTCATACACTGTAAGTAAAATTTCAATTTCAAAAAAGGGTTTAGTTTACCTGCCTGTCGAGAGCAAATTGAATATGATGATATTGTGACAATATGACATGATGAACCGCGTAGGGGTCCTGAAACCAGAGAGTCCCTGTGCTCTGGAGCGCGGCCAGTGAGTGACGCTTGCTGATCGCACTGACGTTACTACTGGCCGCGCTGATATAACGCTAACTGATCATATTGCACACAGTACTTCACTAATATTAAAATAAATGATCTGACTTGCCCAATGTTTATATAGAATTTATATTTTTGTAGGCATTCAGTCGTCTGATCCTTATCCTGCGCGCTCTCCACGTAAACACGGAGCGTACCAAGGTTCTATTGAAGCCAGATAAGACCACATTGACGGAGCCACATCACATCTGGCCCACTCTGTCTGATGATGACTGGATCAAGGTTGAAGTACAACTCAAAGACCTCATCCTTGCTGACTATGGCAAGAAGAACAAGTAAGTTACAATATTTTTTAGTAAAATGTTTTTATGTGCATTCATTTATTGTATGAAAGTTATAAGTGATTTTATTCCATCAATCGTGATTTATAGATTTCAGTGACTTAAATAATATTATAAAACAATTATAATAACTTTTCTTGCAAATAACTAATAATTCTATTATTTTAGTGTCAATGTGGCTTCGCTCACCCAATCCGAGATCCGTGACATTATCCTGGGTATGGAGATATCGGCGCCCTCGGCACAGCGCCAACAGATCGCTGAGATTGAGAAGCAGAGCAAGGAACAGAGCCAACTCACTGCAACCACCACCCGCACTGTCAATAAACACGGAGACGAGATCATCACTTCTACTACCAGCAACTACGAGTCACAGACATTCAGGTGAGAAATAAGCCATTATTGTTCACAACATTTCTAGTTTTAATTATTATTTTTAAAGGTATAAATATGTCCATACAAGATTTACTACTGTAATCATAAAAATTGTTGTTATTAAGTTATAATAAATAAATAATATTATTTCAGCTCAAAGACGGAATGGCGCGTGCGTGCTATATCAGCTACGAACCTGCATCTTCGTACGAACCACATCTACGTGAGCTCGGACGACATCAAGGAAAGTGGCTACACTTACATCCTGCCCAAGAATTTGCTCAAGAAATTCGTCACCATCTCTGATTTGAGAGCACAGGTAAGAATCTATACATAATATGATAATGATTCAATTCTACGAGTTGTGTTGATTTTTTATACTGCCGAATATTTTATTCATTTTATCGGGGACGGCATCATGACACTACACTTTCTAAAACAGTGCCTTTAGCCAAACGCCACTTTAGCGCTTGTCTAGAGAGAGTAGAAAACTAAATGTATGGGGATGACACTGATAAGTGTCAAAATTTACGTCAATTCCATATAATTTGGTTTTCTATTCTACATGTAGACGAGCGCTAAGTGGCATTTGGCTACAGCTGCAGCATTCGCTATCATTGTCGAAAAGGCAGTCTTTGAAGATTGTTAATAAGTAATAACATTTATACCTTGTAACACATGACAGATCGCATGCTACCTGTACGGCACGTCCCCGGCCGACAACCCGATGGTCCGCGAGGTGCAGTGCTGCGTGGTGCCGCCGCAGTGGGGCACGCACCAGGCCGTGCACCTGCCGCGCCACCTGCCGCGCCATCCCGCGCTGCAGCACCTGCAGCCGCTCGGCTGGATGCACACGCAGCCCAACGAACTGCCGCAACTGTCGCCACAGGTACCTATAACAACACACATAGGTTTCTACCCACTATTAGTCCATTGATTGTGCTACTAGAAATGAAAGTTCCATACGAAATGTGTCAAAATTGTATCTCGGAACAGCCGATTAATTTATCGAGACAAGGGTTTTAAACAATAACTTGTACTGGCATTTGGCATGTTTACTTGTCTTCTTAAGCTTCATAAACTCGAAATTATTAAGCTTTTTTTGAACAGTTTATAAACTTCAATTCGATTTTTATAACACCAAATTCTAATTCACAGGACATCACAACACATGCAAAGATAATGGCAGAAAACCCATCATGGGATGGAGAGAAGACGATCATAATTACCTGTTCGTTTACTCCTGGTTCCTGTTCCCTCACGGCGTACAAACTGACGCCAAGTGGGTATGAGTGGGGAGCACGCAACACTGACCGCGGGAACAACCCCAAGGGATACCTGCCCAGCCACTACGAACGAGTCCAGATGTTGCTCTCCGATAGATTCTTAGGATACTTCATGGTGCCTTCGCAAGGAAGCTGGAATTACAACTTTATGGGTATGCTTTATTATGTTGATAACTAATAACTATAAATCATACAATACAAAGTTATATTCAATGATTTTGAACCACTGAGTTTGAGTTCACTGGCTATAGAACAGATTTAATATGAAATTATGTCCAGCGATAAATTCGATCCCTCCGTGACATGATATCATTACAACAGAAGCGTGAGCTTACATTTTAGCGTAAAACAAATTAAAGCAACTACCTTTATCTACAGGTGTGAGACACGATCCCAATATGAAGTATGGAGTCCAGCTCGGCAACCCGCGCGAGTTCTACCACGAGGTCCATCGTCCCGCGCACTTCATGAACTTCGCTGCAATGGAGGACGCCGCCGCGCCCACACTCGCTGCGGACCGGGAAGACCACTTCGCATAGACTTATAACATGTTTAGTAATAAGGGATTAATAGTGTAAATAAGTGAAAAATAAATTTTTAATAATTTGATGAGCTGCATTCTATTTACCTACCACCTCTATCTACCTACTGTTCTTTTTCTCTTTAGAAAAATCGTAGCCAATCGTAGGTGCGTGTGCGTTTACGAATATAATTTCATGATACTCGGACCCGTAAAAACAATTTGTGGATCACACCAGTGTTGCTCCGTGCGGGGATCGAACCTGCTAAGTTGCGCGGTTCCCGCAAAGAGTAGTCAGTAGCCGGTTGCCCGGCCACCATGTCAGCACAGTAGAAATAAACGAATAATTCGTGACGTCAGCCTACTCGAAGGAATATGATAATAACCTAATGGACTAATGACTACATGGCAAAGAGTACAAAAATAAATAAATATCAAAGTGTCTGACGGTAATAGGTTCATGCTCTTTATCCCCAAAGACCAGGTACACATTTTGCCAGTCTCCAAACCAAACCCCATTTCCTCCCTCAAAAAAAAACTCTTCAAGATAAAAATGAGCGACATAGCTTTCGAAATATTGGATATAGAGCAATATTGTGAAATACTTAGGTATTAAGTAAATGACCATATTTTATTTTATTTTTATTTTAGGCAATTACGTGGTAATTTCTGAACTGAATTTCATTAAACTGTCATAAAAGTTTCGTTATCGTTATGTCAAAATTAATCCTGTCAAACTCAACTCAGTCTCAAACAAGTTTGTTCCTGTTGAATTTCGTATTGTGTGTGAATTATTTTTGAACTTATTATTCTAATTTATAACACTAATACAATGGCAGATCACGACGATTTTGAAGATAGCCAATATCCCGACAACGACGAATTTGTGCCTTATGTGACTGCCGGTAACCTGGGAAAAAATGGCGCGAAAGTTACGCTGTGGGGCAAAGTAACCAAAGTTACGGCTAGTGAAGGATTCTATGTGAAAACGGTAGACGATCAGGAGGTTCTTATCAAATTGAAGCATCCTTTGAATGAACCGTTAGAAGGCTGGTACGAGATATACGGAGTTGTTCATGGGAAGACAGTGATGTGTGATGAATATGTTCCTTTCCATGAAGAAATGACAAAGAATATCGACCTCGAGGGTCACAAAGCGCTGGCGAGGTTGTTAGTGGCTATTGATGAACCTTGGAAATTGGGAAATGACCAAGATTCAATAAAAAGTTCCATGACAGGTGTTGTACCAATGGAATGAAACTACGAGACAGTGATAAAAGTTATATTTCTGTATTCTTAAATTAACTTAATTTGTGAGAAAACATTTGATCTTGATTTGTAAAAGTGTTGTAAGAAATTATACTTTGTTGTTACACATTCCATTGTCCCCATCCAATACATTGTCGGATTGTGAAAATAAAATTTGTAACTGGTTTGGTCTGTATTAAATGAACTGTAGTTCAAAATTAAAATGTATACTAGCTCTTGTAGATTCATTAAGATTTTTGGGTAAATGTTTTTACGATTAGACTAGTATAAGTTATGTTTAACATAATTTCATACCATGTGGAAATCTACTAGGATCAATGTAAATTTGTTACTTCTTATATTGTCATCCGAGAGCTATAAATGTTGTTTTTAAAAGGCTGTAAGAATCATTCAACTTGTTATGTGTGATGTTTATACTCACTGCTTTAAAGCCAATTGAATTGGTTTAATGTACATTTTCTGATTAATACCGATAGCTTTACTATACTTTATTATAAGGTATTTTTTTCAAAATCATGTCTTATTATTTAATAATTACCCCATGGAGTATTTACTCTTCACTCGGTGGTCAAAAGTTTATTATACAAGTATTTATTATATAAAATAAATAAATAAAATTCCATTATTATACTCACATAGAAAGTTTAATTGACACAATATTTGGCTTATAATACTAATATTTTGCTTATTTCTATAATTAAATTTGTTCAAATAAAAAACCACCACCCAATAGCCGACTGTTAGAAAATGCTCAGTATTTTAAAAGGCTCTTCTCTTAATTAAATAGGATAATGCAAGTAAGACATTAGTTTTTAAATAATTCAATGTCTCGCAATAGTTAATAATAGTTATTATTTATCACACAAATTAAGAACATAAATGATTACAAAATATTACAAATTAGTTATGTAGTAAATGTAAATATATAATAACAGACATGATCATTATCATCAATTCATGTAAATAGCTTAAACAAAATTAATTGTTGTCAAAACGTGATTTCATCACAGTGATGATAGAAAGTTGACTCGTTACTAAGCAGATTGCATCCAGCATTGCACGCGAGGGTAGGCCCTGATATCGCTGTCCTTGCTGCGGCGTGCGACGTTGCGCATGCGCACTTCGTGTTGCACGGCGTTCGATAGTGCACCCTCTATGCAAGTTACCGGACGATTCCTATAAATAGACAAGATATGGTTTTTAGTTCATACTTAGTAAGTTTTCTAATATGATATGATTTTTAAATAAGTACCTAGGTAGATTAATTTATTGTTAGGCATGCTTCGGCACGAATATACCGGCTTGGCCGAAATGATCCCATGGCCCATGGCTTCATAGACAACCAACGTGAAACCACTTTTCACCAACGCACTTCTGACTCTAATATTATCTACGGGTATCCCTGATTGACACCGATTGCTCATTATCAGACGATTCCCTGCTCGGTCGTTTGTTTCCCGACCTCATAAATAATATAAAAAAGTATAAAACACATACGCCTTAATGTTAATCTTTGGTGCGTCCGTCCTTATCTTCATGCTCAATGGTCTATCTTTGCCCTTCAGCGCCAAGTCCGTAAGATACCTCTTGATGTAATTCTTCAACTGAATATTTTCCCTCATCAGCTTAGCTTTCTCAGTCCGCAGACATATTGTTTGCACCTTGGCTCTGTTCACTTTGAGTAGGAACTTGTCCATTTTGCGATATTCTTTGCATTCATCCTTTGAAAAAGGTTTTGGGTAAATTAATTGGTTACCTAATTAATAAATGCGGTATGTATAATTTGGTTTTTTAACTGATTTAAAAAACCGTTGCCATACCCATTAGGTGTTTGTTTTGGTGTGACCACTTATGAGTTAGGTAGTCAAAGTTCACAGGTAGGTACTTACAATCATGTCCTTATCAAGATGTTCAAAGTCTACTGAGTCCATATCATATTCCACGTCTTTTGTCAGCTCGTCACCCTCGTGCTCATATTTACTGCAGATTTCTGACAGCTGCATCACTTTGTTTAGTTTCTCATACATATCTTCAAGATGCTGAAAAATGTTGCCTAATAAGACACATGCTCAAAACATTCTTGCGGTAGCATTTTACAATGTAGGTACATCTATTGATTTGTCCAATGGTCTTCTGATGATGAGGACTTTGTAACAGTAAAGACCAAATTCATCATCAGAGGTCATAATTGATTGACCATTTAGTCAATAGAGAGGAAATGTGGAACAGGTTTGTAAAAAGGGCAATGGGAAAAATAAGCAATTTAAGAAAAGGCTGAGTGGCTTGAGGCGAGTATGGCTGTTTCAGACTAAAATCGACCGGCAAACCTTGATCGCATCCTGGCTGGCATTCACCATTATATCTAACTGCTGGTTTCCCTTACTGCTCTCAAGCTTAGAGTCCCTCTTCATCTGCAAATATTTGCGGGCTAGTTCTTCCTTGCGATTGGCCATACGCATCAACTTGTCTGTCATCGTACTGGTCGTCTTTTGCCATTCAAGTTGCAAGTTTGTTAGGGTTTCCTGAAAATTAAAGAGCTATATATACGGAAGGTGTAGAACACACTTAGATCCAACTGTTCTAATTACTGCATCTGCAGTAATTTATTGTGCCTTGTATCTTTGTGACTCATACGGTCTCCAGATACTTAGCCTAGTGTTTTGATGTTGTGCACACAGACAAAATATTTTTTTGATCCCTATTCTAATGCAGAATGCTCTTAGTCTTATATATTAGGTGACAACGACATTTTGGTTTGCACCAACCTATCAGTGCACCTATCAAGTAAAGGGTTAATTTAGGTGCTACGTCACGCTAGATAACTTTGACTTAAAAAATGGTTTAGGAGTGGTTGGTTAAAACAACTATTATTTAGGTAAGCGTCGGATTGGCTATACTTAAAATTAAGTTATATAATGTGACATTGTCGATCCTTACACTAGCAAGTTGTATTTGGAAGTCGTTCCTAGCGATTTCCTTCTGATAGAAGTCGTCCTTCTCTCGTAGGCTGTGGTAGTGACTCATGATGGGGTTGTGTTCCTCCTGGTATGAGTTGTACACTTCACGGAGTTTGCCCCAGTACATCTCTATTGCCAACTGCTTTGGGGCGCAGAAACTTCGCAGTTCCTCTTCGTGCTGTAATATTTGAAGGTATTTAAAAACAATTGATTGACGAAAAATGTAGTGATGTTTTTTTTATGAGGGGAAAATCATCGAATGACTTCTCCCGCCTGGGTGTGGCGGGATGGAGTGTCAGACTCTTACTGACTAAAAACCACCCCGTTCCTACTCCTGCACTTCGAGCCGGAGCCCCGGTACCCCGTTAGGTTCTCCGCGGTATGTAGTGATGTTGGACGCTGCTAATCTAAGACACCGGGAGTAGATAGCTACTTTTATCTTTATTAGGTTCAGGTTAACTTCAGGGGAAAATCAAGATATCTATGTATATAGATAGTCATAGCAACAAGAGCACTGTGCCTATGCATTTAACTTTAATCTGCTACGATTCATCATCATCATCAACAGCCTATAAATGCCCACTGCTGAGCAAAGCCTCTTCTCACATGAAGAAGGTTTGAGCATTAATCACCACGCTTGCTCAATGCGGGTTGGCGATTTCAAACTTATAATTAGAAACTTATAATAGGTTTCCTCACGGTGTTATCCTTCATCGTTTGTCAGTGGTGTCTAAATAATGTTAGAAAGTAGGTACATATAGCTCAGTAAAAGCCACACATTGGAATGGAATCATCCATGGACATACATATTTGGACCGTGAAATCTATTGAATTAGGGACCTCGGTAACATCAACTGATACTAGCATACTCATAAGAAAAACACCAACACGTGATTAAGTACTGACAAGGTTTTTGTTTGAAATTCTTTTTGTTATCACGTTGTCCTACCGTTATGTATTTCACAGGTACTCATGCCAAGTCTACCTGGCAACTGGTAAGGTTACCGTCTACCATTTAAAAGAAGTTAAAAGACTTTTTACCTAATATACCTACATAGCTTCAAGATACAATCTTTAACAAGGCAACTAAATAGTCATGATTTATAGTCGTGGGCATCAAAACAAGCGTTTATACCTGATATACTTGTTACTCTAAGTACTGACTACGCAATTTCCAATTGGCCACATGGTTTCCTGTAATTACGGTCCCTGATCCCAACATCCGACTGTACAGACTGACAGACTGACAGCTGTGACTGATGAATGATGAGCATTGTTTGATATGATGCGAGATTAGCATGTGCGATGAAATATGGAGATTTGAAGAACAATCGTTATGTTCATAACGTAATATCGTTATACTTTGCTATTTCTTGGAGAGTTGGAGGAATGGAGCTGTATGCCAGAATCTAAACTCAGTTATCAGCATCGCAATAGCTAGAGTAAAAGTCTATCAATGATGACGACTTAGCGTTAGACGCACTTTACCTGCCCTTGTTAGGTACTTTGGTTTACATACACTAGCAGCAAGGAATAAGATAAGTTGGTTATGAATAATGGAGCCATGTAGGTATAAATTATTACTAATAATTTCTTTTGCCATTCATTTAGAATATGATGATTATTTGTTAGTACAAATGAATGGCAACAGATCAATCATGATCTGATTATGATCAGAATATGAATTCTAAACCTCTTAACTTTGTAATAAGACTTGCTTGAAACAAAAACTATTCAAAAAACCCATATCCATAGTCAATGTAGGTACTTCCTGCTTACAGCAAATTTTTAAATTTTTGGATTCCCAAATATGTGGTCCATCTAATTCAAAAGCGCATTAAGGACAGCACATGTCACAAAACAATTAGTCATATTTGGATGGGGCTTGTCACCTTTTGTGTCTGGGGGAAGTGATGCGTGGAAGCCGTTATCATAAATATGGTGTAGCATGACCACTGGTGACACTGTTAGAGCTCGGGCCGCTGTGACCATGTGCCTCGTCAAGTACCATGTGTTGGTACTCTGTGTGATACTTGTGGGGAGTTATGTAAGTGAATTCTGCTTTTTATAATTAACAAACTGATTAATTTGAGTCGAGAAGCCAGCTCTCATATAAACAAAGAAAGCTTTTCATTTTGAAATATAAAATCTGATTAATTTAAATCTTTCCATCAGCAGTATCAAAATTTCCTTAAAAGTGTACTTTCATAGCAAAATTTTATTCAGGCTTTAAACTGTCGATCAAGCGGAGGCCCTAAAGAGGCAGAGCTGAAGAATATTTATAAAAAATGTTTGAAGATGCAAGAAGGGAAGAATTCGAGCAAAGGAAACTCAGCTCAAGACTGGAAGGAGCCACGCGTTCAAATACAAAGAAACGACTGGGACCGAGGTCGCGTGGGAAGTAAAGAAAACAAGAACAGTAGGGACGATAGTAGATCAGGTAGTAAAGACAAAAAGGGGGATAGTGGTATGAGGGACAACAGAAATGACATGATGAGTCGACGAGATGATATGATGAGTAGAGGTGATGACAGAAATGATAATAGGAAACATAGAACTGACGACAGAATGGGTAATGACAATGACAGGTCAGGGAATAGAGGTAGGGGGAACAAGAATAACAGGAACGATATGAATGGAGGGCGAGATGACAGATTTGGGAGAGATGACTATTTCAATGGACGAGAAGACTTCCCACAGAGCGATGAATATGGAGGTGTAAGTAATTTTATAATACATTTTAATCACAGTCACACACGATTTCTGCTAAGAAACTGTATCAACATAATATTGTCTACTTCAAAATTTTGTTCTTTCAGGACATGGGTCAATACAACAACAATTACTACTCCACAACTCAGTCCTCTAGGAGATACAAAAGGGAGCGACGTCCTAGCAACTCTGGACAAAGGAGTCAGTACAATCCGAACAACCACAAAATCTCAGGATATGAAGACAATTTCCGATCAGATGAGAGAAATACTACTGATAATAATTCTAGCAAAGAAACAGATAATAAGTCGTGTGCGTTACACTGTTTCTTGGAGAATTTGGAGATGGTAAGTTAGCTAAGTATTGTATTAATAAGATACTTAAATGAAAATATCGGTAGAGATGAGATAAGTTTAATGCATGGCAATTTTCTTTATCTTATACTTTTTTTACCTTTAATCTAACCTAACGTTACTTACGAAAGTGTTAGAAGATACTTCTTAATCGTGATCTATATGAATGAATATCTTGGTAACGAACGAAAAAGAGACTGAATTACAATTCACTGCATTTTGTGATTTCGTAACGCATCCTGGTAGAATTAATGATAATGAAGAGTTTTAGTTATCAAACTAATCTAGTGAAATAAACGAACCGAAATTGTTAGTTAAAATTCTCTCATGCTAATTGATTTTGATTAGTTCAATGAGCTCCGCAGCTGTTGAGATTAATTTCTTAATTCTCACAAAGACAGGGGAGGATGGCATGCCGGACAGATATCTGGTGACTCATGCCATCACGAAGGATGTAAAGAATGAAGACCTAAGGGATTTCCTTCAGGAGTCCATTGAAGAGTGCTTCCAGATCCTGGATAATGGTATGTACTTTTACAAAATAATTGGGTTTTTGTGAGTTTTTAAGTACAATAGTGTTGGATTATGGTAAATTTTGGTACGACAGAAAAAAGCAGAGAGTAAACAAAAGGTCTTGATAACATGGACTTTTTTGTTACAGAAAATACCGAAGACAAATGTGAATTTTCGAAAAACTTGTTGATTTGTCTATCAGAGAAGGGCAGAGCGAACTGTGACGATTGGAAGGATGACCTGACATTCTAGAAATAAGTAACTAATTTATACTTTGTGATGTACCTACTTAAGTACCTATGCCTTATAAATGTATTTTGCAATATTCAACTTTATATCATTGTTAATAAACGCTATATCAGCACTTGATTTTTTTCATTAGACCTATTTAAAATACAATGAAATTGGCTTCTTGGTTTAGTGTGAATTTCTAAGCACAGAGTACCTATTACGTAGGTATAAATTGTATTACTTGTGTCCCACTCTTATGTAGGGTAGAGGAGGCTCTTTAGCAGTAGACTACCACGAGGTGTTAATGAAGAAAATGAAGTAATGAAGAAAGTGTGGGAGAGCCATGCTTCGGCACGAATGGGCCGGATCGACCGGAATAATACCACGGCCTCACAAAAACCGACGTGAAACAACGCATGCGTTGTGTTTCGTCGTGTGAGTGAGGTTACCGGAGGCCCAATTATCCCCCCTCCCCAGTTTCCACAGTCTCCCCAATCCCCGAATCCTTAACAATCCTCAAATTCCCAAAAGGCCGTTAACACACTTCTAACGCCTTGGTGTTTCAGGTGTTCATGGCGCCAATTGCTTACCAGCAGGTGATCCGTCTGCTCGTATACCGGCTTATGCCATAAAAAAAAATCAACTCCTCTTTTCTCTCACCTCAAGCCTCGCATCATTCTTCTCCGTAGCGCGTTGCGTCTCTATATTCTTCCTCAATGTCTGGAAGTCCCTGTCCTGTATGTACATGATCAGCTTCAGCTTGAACTCGGCTCTATCCTGGCAGTCTATTAGTTCCATTTCTTCTTTGTCCCAATTCTCTAGTAGATCGTTCTTCTGGTGATCGTATTCTGCTTGCAGCTTGTCTAAGCGTTGGGTGCCTATGTCTGTAATTACAGTTTTACATAGGTACTAGGTAGTACTTAGAAAACATCTGGTTGATATAGTGTTCTTCAACTTTTGTTTCTTTTTTCTGATCTAGGTCTAGGTAGTACTAACGGATTACAAAAATCTAGGATCAGTCCCTAAAATTAGGATGAATGCAATGAATTCTAAACTCCGGGCAATAATGACGTAGTCTAAAAGTCTATAAGGTTTAATAATTATAAGGCAGATAACAAGAAGATCCCTACTTCTTGTACCGTACCGTACACAAAGTATCTCTGCTAAATCCTTTAGTATGAAATCTGTTCCTGCTTCATAATTTCAAATCATAACTAAAGTTAATTTTTAGCTCACAACGTCTACCAAGGAAATTGAAGTTAAACGATTCCTTACTGAGGAAAAAGCTGACGTTTTCCGTGTGTGCCTGGAAAGCTCTTCGATGCTGTTCATCAGAGTCGTCCGTGGCCCTCACCAGCGTCTTTATCAGGCGGTCCTTGCGCTCTACCAGGAAGTTGAAGCTGGTCAGCATGTTCTAAAGGCAATAATTAACTTAAATCTTATGGGAAGTAGGTATGATAAATTATCTTAGCAGTAGTTACCACTTACCATTATGGATAGCCTCACGAATTGCTAACTTAAAGTTGGTTTACAACATCCAGTCTACATGACTAGCGACCCACCCCGGCTTCGCACGCATATATGCATGTATTATATATATAAACCTTCCTTAAGAATTCCTAAAAAAACCACATCAAAATCCGTTGTGTAGTTTTAAACATCTAAGCATACATAGGGACAGACTGACGGCGTATAGCGACTTTGTTTTATACCATGTAGTGATAAACCAACCATTGAATCCTGAGAACTTGAAATTATATAGGCAAGTACCTAATTCGCCATTTTCATGCCCGACTACCATTATACTTAGGAAACCATTAAATCCATTAAATCATACAGTACCCTAAAAACTACAGTTGCGATGTCCCACAAAATTCCTTAAAAAGACAATAAATATAATAATAATGTTGTTTACCTGAATATCCAACGCCATTTGTTTGCATTTTATTTTCCGCAGGATAAACCTCCATTGTTGATTTATTTTAGCTGTATTCAAACGACTGTAGGCCTCTTCTTTGTCTAATTTATTCTGTAAACATGCAACAAAAATTATTTTACAAATAATGGAATGAAGTGATAAAATGAAATAAGTATAGAACAGTTTTATTAAGCACTAGCAAACCCGGCGAACTCCGTTTCGCCACCAGATGGCTTCGTTTTATGTAACATTTCCTTTGATGATTAAAAGATGAAGAAACATTTTTTTTGTATTATATTTTATAAACCTCACGGAGCCCGAGACCTTTCCAACGAATGCAAAACCGTGGAAATCTGTTCGTGCGTTCTGGAGTTACAGCGTCAGGAAGGAAAACCCGACTTATTTTTATATAGTAGATTAGGAGAGCATTTTAATCTGAATTTAAGTAGGTTCTCAATATTGAGTTGTTTTTTTTTCTCTATGGAATAGGACGCCAACGAGTAAACGAAGATGTTTGTTTAAGAGCCTTCATTTCTGTGAGGCGAGAGTGACTGTTTCCACCCTGGGTGAGGAGATTTAAAGGAGTGCAAAATCTTGTGCCTTGCTTGCATAACGCTAATATTTTTGGTAGAGTAACGAGTATTTAGTAACTCTTTCGATTTTGGGACAAAAGCGAGAGAGATCTGTTAAATATTCGCTACTCAACAAAAATAATAGCTTTGTGCGAACTTACCATTATCTAGAGGTAAATAAAAGCTACATCGTTCGTTCAAACTCCTCCTCCTAACCGGGGCCGTAAAGTGAATACAATAGAATCAAATATCACCTTTATGAACCTGTGAATAAGTTCTTGTTTCCTCCGACGAGCCTCCTCCTCCAAGTCGGCGCGATGTTGCAGATACCTGGCTCGCTCCTCATCTGACATCTTCGCCAACTTGTTCACTTTGCCTTTCTTACCCATTTTGAATGTTTAGATTTTCTTGCTGTAAAAGAAATTTCATATAGGTAATGGTGATGTCTTAGTTATTTTGTTGAGGCAGGCGGGTATTATTCCATACTTTGAAGACGAGAATTTTGCCTGGTATTTTGCAAAAGGCTCAACGCAACTGTTGTTACGTGGGAATAACAATATGTTGAACATGTGCGTACCCCTTCGATATAAAAGCCGTGATGTTATGATGTTATTGTTACCATCAGCTATATTATTATTATTAGCTATATTATGTTATTCGCTTACCATCAGGTGATAAGGATGCTCGTTTGGCTCTTATTCCATAAAAAAATGTTGTTAATTCCTAATCCCCAAAAGACCGGTAACGCACCTGTAACACCTCTGGTGTTTCGGGCGTACATATGGGCGGTGCCGATTGCTTACCATCATCTCTTTGCTCGTTTACTGGCTTATCCTATAAAAATGTTATTGTATGCTCGTAGATATCTCATAAAAACTGTGTACGATCACAAAAAAAAAAAATTATCTTACCTTTGTTAAATACGTAAGTTGAGACTAAAAGGTGATACTCGTAGTCCTAGGCACTGTTATACAGTTATTGAACTAACTAGATGCAGGTAACGCGGCAACATGCCACTAGTGTTATTGATTAATTAAATATTCCTAACAACGGTGTTAAAGCGTAACCTTGGTGGTGTCCCTATGGTGTCACGCCTCGATGCAATTTTATTTCCATGTATTTTCTTTAGTATCATATTCGCCGAAACGAAATTTATTATTGATAGATAATTCAAAATGAAGTTTTAATATTATGCTATAATTTACGATTGTTAATTAAGTAGTATAGGTAAAAATCACGGAAAAACAATGATTAACGTTAATTTTGTTGAAAACTACCAAAACTTATTTCTCGAGATAAAAAAAGATTATAAGTTCAATACTGTTCTTAATTTAAATTGGTGAAATAAACAATTATATTATTTTTTATTGACTAGACCTTAGATGAATTTTTTTAAATTTAATGGTCCGTCGTTTGGCCATTAGTGGTAAGCGATGATGCGGTTCTACGATTATTATTTACAGCCAGCAATAATTTAAACATGTTTCATTGGCTTTCTTACCCAACAACTAAATGTTTTGAAATATTTGACAACGCAGCGTGCGGAATAATTCAATTTTTATTACGTTTTTTTTTAATCACAAATTAATCAAATAATTAATATTTTATCATTCTATTTAAGTGCAACACAACAGGTGTGTACACAATAAAACAAGCTGATAAGGCCATAAATAAAGAAAAAAAACTCAATGTTTACCGTTGCCATGGTTATCAAACACCGATCAGAAAATTGAAAGCTATCATCAGGAAACAGAGTGACATAAAACGTATTTAACGTACTAATATTTTTGTAAGTAAAGGAATTTATAAGAAATAATAAAAATGGACCCTCCATCGATGACGGGGACCTTGCAGTCCACATCTACATACTCAGATAGCTCGAAGACCAGCAGTAGATCTGGTCAAAGTACTGAAAAAGAAAGAGATATGGATCTTACAAAAGATAATGGTGAGTTGGTAAAATTGGAGAACATTAGCATTTGGAATGGAAGCAATGTAGATTTATGTTGACTCTGTAGAACTTATGGTTAAAAGAACTATGATAGTAAACGTTACGTAGGTCTTTTATTTTGCCTTACGACGAACAAAAGGCAAAGTGCTATGTTTTTTTATATCCAGTACTTCTACATAATATTTCGAGCGAAGTTAGAGCCAGTATGATGTACCTACCTATATGATATATTACTTACTCCATCATTCCAGCTGCATCACCAATCGACTTGGAATGCCACATCCAATCCGAGCGTATCACTAAGATTATGGACGATGCTATCTATAAATGCAAGCTGTGCCTTTCTCTACCAGAACTGGTGCAGGAGTACCGGACTCTTTATAATTTACTGACGCCTCCTCATATGGATGACCTGACTTTTATTTTCGAGCAGTATGACAATCCATTGTTCTCTGCTAGTCTTCTAAATATGGCTGTGATGGAAGACTTGAAGGCTGTAAGTTATTTTATGGTCATAGTTTCAAGAAGCTATCTTATTTAATTTTGTATTAGGTTGACTGCCTCGTTGGCCGAGTGGTCGCAAGTGCGACTGCCGGGCAAGGGGTCTCGGGTTCGATTCCCAGGTCGGGCAAAGTATTACTGGGTTTTTAAAAAAAATTCTCAGTAGTAGCACGGAGCCTGGAATTGTGACCGGTATATGGCAATAGGCCCCCTATTACATGGGACTCATAACATAAATAGTGAAAAGTGGGTGTTACATTGTACAATGGCTTAATGTGCACCTCTGCCTACCCCTTCGGGGATAAAAGGCGTGATGTTATGTTATGTTGATTACAATCGTTTTTGCACACGATTTTTAGTTCAACAAACTATGTATGATTTTGAATTTCTCGATGAACGATTAATAGGTTCTCTCAGAATAGAATTAATAACAAAACTGGCAAGAACTGCGGGTAAGTGTTCATTGCCTAAAAGCTATATTTTTGACAGGCATTTGGTACAATATTAGACCAAAACTTTGGATTTGTAATACTTGGAGCAAATTTTCATTTCCAGGGTGATTTGTCGCTGAAGAATCGTTTGAATCCAGAGTTGGGACACTTACTCTACATCATGAACAGCTATCCTGATCTCCGGCCTATAGTTGAGGAAGTGATCGACAAGGTACATTCACGATTAGGGCCTTTATATCTCTCGTTACTTTATTTATTTGTACATTATTTCTTTAGTATTCAGTGTCCTTTATAATGATTTGGAGTTTAACTAATTTATTACTCTCTTTATTTCAGCAAAGAGAAATTCAAGCCAATGACGTAAGTTAATCATACTTAATTATAAAAATTTGTTTCCAAAAGAATTTTATACCACAATTTTTGTTATATTTTAGAAAACAAAATTGACGCCTGGTTTTGAGTTTTTGATGGAACTTGAACATTTCCGAGATCTTATGGTAAGGCAGATGGAGGCTACGGCGGCAGAGGAACTATCTGCTAAAATTAGTACTAAGAAGCTGGAAGCATCTAATGAAAGTCTTATTGCTCATATAAAAGGTACTTACAAATTAAATTAACATACCTAATAATATTTCTTTAACAGTGCAGGTCATCCGTTTACTTTTTGAGTCATAAGTCAAACTTGCACATCCAAATCAAGAGGTGCTGAATAGTTTGAGCAAGTGATTATTGTCGTAGAATTTGTTGAATGTGTTATAGGGATCTTTAATTTGGACATTTACGGACATACAACTCATAACAACTGATAAATAGTGTATGTTGTGTAGCATTGACTTGACTATGTGGTTTTAGATCTAACGTATTTCTTACTTCTATCTCTTTAGAATATTCAACCACCTTGAAAGAAGAGACCGAGCGTTTTGAACAGACGATGGTTATGAAGGAGGAGATGATAACCAAGCTAGAACATGAACTAGTCATACTGAGCCACGATGCTACTGTTAAACTCAAGAAGAAAATGTAAGATTATGTTATTTATGATGTAGATTCAAATTATAATATCTACACTAATTATTACTCAGATTTTCAAATGTAATTAAAGGATAGAGTGATTTATAAGCAAACTTTAAGTATTTCATAAGATAACAATTTAATGTGTATTGGCAGAACTGAGATTTGCTTTAATATTTCTCATCTGTCTAACCTTAGATTGGATTCAGAGCGTCAAATGGTGCTGGCCACTAGAAGTCATACAGTTAAAAATGAATTGTTGAAGGAAGAAGAGGTGGAAAGTCGAGAAGCGTATGAGCAGTTGTTAAGGTCGCATCTTATCGAGGAGAAAAATCAAAGGGCTCGACGGTAATGTAATTTTGGACAGCAAACTTTTATAAGGAGGACCAAATCACCTTCAGATTAAGATTTTAAATTGGTATATTTACTAAGTACGAAATATAATACCGCCTTGGCCCTGGCCCCCTAGCATCCCCCTTACCTTATGTATAAATACGTATTTTATTTTATGGCGTTTCATAGAGTATCCTAAGTTTACAATCCAAAGTTACCTACTTTATTAAAGTAATGTATTTCCAAAGTTAACGTTCCAAAGGTTTAAAGTGGAGACGCAGTTATTATCATGGCTACAGAAGTATGACCTCGAGATGAGTGACAAACAGGTGGAACTGGACGAGTTCACGCAGAAATATGAAGACGAAGTCGAGAAATGTCAGGAATTAGAGGTAATGTCGTCCTTTAAACTTTGAACCTAGAGGCTTTTCTCTTGGTGAATATAAACTTGTGAGACCGAATGGTTGATGACCAAGTGAAAATCTACAAAACTATAAGTTTTTAAAAATAATAGAATAAGAACAAAATTATAAATATTTTTAATAGATGGAAACTTCTCAATGCTTATTAACATAATATAACATCACGCCTTTTATCCCCGAAGGGGTAGGCAGAGGTGCACACAGAATTGACACCCACTTTCCACTATTTATGTTATGAGTCCCATGTAATAGGGGGTGAGCCTATTGCCATATACCGGGCACGTTTCCGGCTCCGTGCTACTATTGAGATTTTTTTAAAGCCCACTAATACTTTGCCCGACCCGGGGATCGAACCCGAGACCCCTTGCCCAGCAGTCGCACTTGCGACCACTCGGTCAACGAGGCAGTAATGAAGATAAAATTATAGAACCCTTAAATAAGATGTAAAAGTCCTAATTTTGTGACCAACAGAAAAAATTGGCGGAACAAGACATCGAGTACATCCCGCTGATGGCAGAAAGAGAGGCAGAATACAACCAGGAGATGACGGAGAAGATGAACAAGTTCCTTATAGACCATGCTGCAAGGGTCATTCAACACGCCTGGAGAGAAGTACTGACCAACCGAGCAGAGAAGAAGAAGGTACGTTTATAGTTATTGAAACTTAAGATTCTTCAGGAGTAATTTCATAGATGAAATCGATTTTGCAATAAAAAAAGGGTGCAGATTGTTTGGGAGTTATGTGTCTATTGATACTCATTTCAATGTTTTGTTTTATGCAGCTAAAAGGAAAAGCCAAAAAGGGAAAGAAGAAAGCGTAATAAAGGGAACTTTATTATATTTAATCCTTAGTCTTTACCTCATTCAAAAATTTCCTACAACATTTCTCCATATTTGATTTCGTAATGCAATTTTAGATTCTACATGAGATTTGGACAAACTTGTCGTATTTCTGGCTCTCTTTAATATTTTTTTCCTGACAGTACTCTTAACTTAGATTTCATAATGTCCCGTTACCTCACGTCGACCAACTTTACCTGAAATCCTTCCAATCGTATCCTGACATCCTGATTTCCTTCTTCTTACAGCTAAGGAAGGTAATAAGGAAGTTGCAAGAAGCTCAAGTCCCAACGAACTTAATCAAGGGAAAACCAAAGAAATAGTGATTAGATTTATAGAAATAATGTTTACCAAAATTATGTATTTATTTTCATATTTAATTGTTATACTGTTATTGTTTATCTGTTGTGCGAATAAAAAACTCAGTAAGCAAGGAGTATATTTTTATTTATATCCAAAAGCACTTGCTTTAATTTAGGAAATATTTTCTGTTCTTATTTTATGGGAGTACAAAATTGAACCTAATTTAGAGGTATGTGCAAGAAGCCCCACGATTCTGATTGATCAAGTTTCAAAAAATATAAAAGACATAGCGTATCTACAAGAAACTGATAGAACTCCATTAGGCTAAAGGCTCACGAAGCGATTCTCCCGAGCCAAACGCGGTTACGGGCCAGCATTTTTTTTAGAATACAGATATGTATGTAAAAAATCAATGCAATTCACGGGACGGGACATTTATCATTGGGGCGGCCGGTCTCGAATTCAACTAATTGTTTAACCGCCAAGTTTGCGGGCGATAATAGCAACCTCGGTTGCAGGACCGCAGAAAACTGCGATCTCGTGAGTTTTGAAAATTCCGCCTCCATTACGCCACCACGGCGGGCGCAGAGAAAATCCCGCCGTGAGTCCTTAGCCTTAGCAGATCTAATATTCCATATCAAATACATAGTGTAAAATAATCATTACAAGTTCTCCTAAAAAGCTAAACTAGATAGAATATAACATCAGCAACGCTGCATTACTTTATAATAAATTTTAATAATTATTGTTTATAAATCAGATCATAATTTCTCCTCATCATCTAGGATCTTGAGATGTCGTATGGCTCTGACGTCGATGAGTGTATCGGAAGAACTCTTTGTGGTCGGAACGAAAGATAATGCGCGGCGGGCTCTCTCTCCGTTACGGAATACTGGGTTGATGTCCTGGCGAAACAGAATTAGGAGTTAATTATGTACATAAATGAAAGTATGAAAACTCAAATAACAATTACGAACATATCACCATAACAGCATGTTATCCATTTTCAGTCAGTAAGAGTCTGACTCCATTTGCATTTATTTCAAAAACAATTTACATTGTGTGTGAATCAAAGCTTAAAACTAATAACACAAGTAGTACAAAAAGAGAGAAAAAAAAACACATTTCCTAAAGCGAATTACAATTAAAATTATTGCTAAAATACTGATCTCATAACAACAAAATTTATGTGACACAACTACATTAATACATTGATACACTGTTCAATAAGTATACCCAATACAATACAATACAAAACCATATATCCTTTTCGCTTCACCCAAGGTAGAAGGATCCGATAATTTTCTCCCCTCAAAAACCCATAGTTAATGTTACAGGACCATTTTGCCATTATATCAGTAATCCATTGTTTCATGGCTTTGCAAGTGTTCTATATACGTACAGGCTTGTACTTTTGACACAAAATGTTGTCTTGGTCCATTGGGCACACGAAGATCAAAGATTTATACTCACTCTTAGTTGTACCTGCAACGCCTGTGCCGTGTATTCAGTCTTAGATATTTTATCTTGAGCTGCCTTCAGTTCAGCGTCCAGTCGCTGTTTCTCTTCTTCTAGCTCCTTTAGACGCTTTTCTGCTTCTACAAAAACAAAGGATATTTCTTTTAAAACCTAATTGAATGCTTTTTGACTGACTGCATACGGTAGGATAATAAAGAAGAGCTTACCTCTATATTGTGTTTCTTTCTCAGCCTGTAGTTTTTCAAACTGCTGTCGTTTCAATCTTTCTTCTTCTAGCATTTTATTCTGTTCCTCTTGAAGTCTTTCCAATTCTTCACGTCTCTCCCATTCTTCTGCTAATACTCTGAAAGTATAGTTTGTGTTATAAGTAATTACTGTTTAGATTTACATAGGTACACTGCTTAAATTAAAAGTTCTTGTAGTTCATTCGTATCTCACCTAGCTTGTAATGCTCTAACAATTTCTTCGTCTCGTTTAGCTTGAGTTTCTTCCTGTAACAGCTTTTCAAGTTCTACTTGTGCGTTTTTCAGCTCTTCTAATTTCTTATTGTCCTGCTGTGCTAGTTCTACCAGTTCCTGAAGTATAAAGTCACATTATTTGTATTATTACATGCACTTACGACTCACGAGATACGTTGTTGAGAAGTTTATTAATTGAAGTGTATATCTACACTGATTTGACCAAAAACAGATGAATAGATTGTACTAGGAAGGATATGAATCAGTCAGACGACATCTTATCACATACAAACTAAACCTAGTATTAGAATAGCGTCAACTTGAGGGATAATGTGTAATAATGATAAGTCATGCCTAGTAGAAGTTTTAGAAGAACTGTATCAGTAAAAAGATAGTAATACAATGGAGATAAAAGTTTGAGGTAATGAGGGAGCACGATATTAAAAGAAACCTACCATATAAGAAATGTTTTCATACCTGTGCTTGTGCCTCAGCAGCGAGTCTGGCCTTCACCTCGTGCTGCAGTCGAGCTCGTGTCTCCCTCACTTCTCTCTCTCGCCTCGCTCCAGCTCCTCGTCTTATAGCCCGAGCTCGGCGCTGGTAGCCTTCTACTCCACCTGATACTGCCGCCGCTTGGCGCAAAGCTGATATCCATTGTAGACGACTCCTATAGAATTACAAATAACTTTATGGTATTTCATCAAGTGCTGTTAAATTGATGACCTACTAAAACAAAGAATTGATCAGTAAGAGACATTGTGAAAAATTTGGCACACTGTGGTCGTAATTAATATTCGATGCTATCCGAAATCTCTGGATCTCTTTGTGAGAAACTATGGAGTTTCTTTGATCGATCTTAATTCAAAGATTTTGGATCAAAGTTACCTATCAATTGATCCACGATTAAGTTTCCAACTCAAACAAAATTTTGATCGAAAGGCTGTAAAATTTATCTGTCAGTAGAAACTAAACACCCACTCACTTATGGTCTTGAGTCCCAAATTCAAATGTCCTATCAGGTGTGATGAGTTGAAACCGTTGTATCTTGCCTTCCCCTGCAGCTGCTTCTACTGAGCAGTACTCGTCAATAGGCACTCGACCACACTGCTCCTTCTGTGACGAACTCTTGTAGTAGGTGAGAGCACATGGCTGGAGGACGCACCAATACTCCCGCATTGTGGGTAGGAGATAACCGCGTTTGAATAGATAACCCTGGAATGTTGAAGGACAAGATGTTACTAAAACTGAAAATGAAGGACAGTGTAGGAGATGGTAGAAAAAGAGTTGATAGATGAATGATTGGAGTTAAAATTAGTCCTCAATCTTATGTATAAGCATGAATCTGATGTTTTGTTGGTTGCCTTATATTTACCTTCTTAATAATATCTTCAATAAAGACATCGTATATTTCATCCACGGCTTCAACTAGCGCCTCTGGGTGCACCTGTTGGTCTCCACAGTATTTAGCTTCCAACACGGCAAGGAAAGCTGCCCATTTGAAGTGTCCTATAGAAGAGCCAAGAGCCTCCCAGTCAGCTGTATCCCATCGGAGTCCAAGGCAATGTACTAACTGTTCTGCCACTATTCCCGCTTCTGATGGTTGGAGTACCACCTGAATGAAGAAAGTTTTAATCTTAATGAAATAAAGGAAATTGAAAATAATATTTTGCTACTTAAGTTAAAAAGTTACCTAAATATATTGTCAATGGAAATGAAAGAATAAGATGAAATTGGGAATAAAGAGTGAAATATTAAAAAAAAAACGATGTAACAAGAAGAATGTTTAAATAGAGAATAAAATGAAAGATTTTAAAAATAATTTGATCGTTCATTACTCAATCATGTTATTATCAGTCATAATTATGTAAGTACCTAAAATGTATCTATTAGTATTAAGATTAAGATTAAACCTACAAAGTGCACTTAACCAAACAAGGTGTGGTTCGACGATTACAAAATACAAATACACTTGACAAACATACTTATGTATTATCTGAAAAAAAGTGAAAGTTAAAATATTATGAAACCGTACGTAAATGACAAGTGTTAAGTAACTTAACTATTGCGAAATTGAATTCTACACGCGAACACGTGTAGACTTTAAAAATCTGAAATACATTATTTTTCACTACTGAACCAGTTTCATAAATGAAATTCTGTGACAGATATAGACTATCGATTGATTTTAACGAATGTTTTTAAACGTTCCTCATTGAAAAGAAAGATTTAATAGTTGTACTAATTTAAGAATTTTGAATTAGGTTCCTCCTTAATTTATAAAGCCTAAAGTATCTAGACCATTTACTTTTCTCCAGTCAAAGTCAAAGTCCTAAATGATTCCAAGGACTATGGTAGGCAAAGTAGATCATTAGATACGCATACGGTGTGGGCTAATTAAACTCACATGAACTTTAAAACTTAAGTACACGTAGGCGTAGTTACTCGGCTATAATAATTGTGATCAAAGATTAGCAAAGCTTCATTAACTTAATAATTCGTTCATTGAACCAATTTTATAGTTTTTACTTAACATAGTATAATATCACGTCTTTCATCCCCGATGCGGCAGGCAGGGGTGCACATTACGGCACTTAACGCCATAAACCCACAATTCACTTCTTTTTGAGTTAAAAAAATAACCAGTAATACTTTGCACGACCCGGGGATTGAACCTTTGCCCAGCAGTCGCACTTGCGACCCGTCGGCCAACGAGGCAGTTTTACAATTTACGGTGTAGATTTTGGGTTATCTAATTTAACTATATTATTGATCTAATGCAACTTTGATTACGGAGCCATCGACATTTACATGATGTTCAGTTTTGAAACCCTTTATTTTGTTCAGTTATGGTTTCTGACCTATGTAATCGATGTATTAACTCACCTCACAAGAGTGCTGTCAATAAAAATTAATGGTCCACATCTATACAAACCGACAGACTATATCGATCGCGGGTTACTCTCGAGTACATACTGAGAAAAGCTCTACTAGTTTCGAATCACAGAGAAGTTCTTCCTCATGAGCAGCGTGCACGGTCACGGCGATGTCACTTAGCCTACTGAGGCTCAGTATATGTTCACGTGAGTATCCCGCGATTTGCAGTTAATTTAGTAGTGTCTCACGATAGTTATTATAAAAACAGACCATATTGTATTCGATAGGCACCAAACTAACTGTCAACACACCGTGAGCCTACTTCAGGAAGTTCTAATTAGTGTCTGAGTGCTTACTAATTGCCAAGACATTGTTATACAGTTGTATTTACATAATTTTGCGTGTAGGCGACCTACTCTTAATACTAATTTAACCTCTGGTACAAGTGAAAGTTACTTGAACATCCTAAATAGAACTCCTTTTTTTAAGGGGGAAAATCATCGAATGACTGCTCCCGTCTGGGTGAGGCGGAAGGGAGTGTCAGACTCTTACTGACTAAAAACCACCCCGTTCCTTCTCCTGCATATCGAGCCGGAGCCCCGGTTACCCGTTAGGTTCTCCGCGACATCCTAAATAGGACTAAACTTTAAAATGTAGATACATTTTAATGCAATATTATTATTTTTCTAACCTTATTCTTTATAGTGGAAATGCAATGCACATTACTTGTATAACGGCAAAATGTGGAGAACCTTACTATAGGTTAATATTAAACACCTATTGCATAATTTTTTAGCCATGTTTACAACCGAAACAAATGATTAGATTTGATTTGAATGCAAATACTATGTGCACACTCATGATCAGTTGACCAATATGACTCTAAGAAAGATTTTTTCTTTATTCCAAGTGATCCTACTATGCTACATCCTATTACAGACTTCACTACATAGTATAAAACAAAGTCACTAACCGCCGTCTGTCTGTTCCTATGTTTACTTAGATCTTTAAAAGTACGAAACAGATTTTTTAAATATATAGAGTGATTCTTAAGGTTGGTTTATATGTATAATACATGTTTATGGCACCCATGCAGAGCCGGGGCGGGTCGCTAGTAATTTGTATATATATAAGGATTAATATCCTTACTAATATTATAAATCGGAAAGTGAGTTTGTTTGTTTGTTCCACCTTCACGCCGTACTGCTACTTTTTATCCTTTTGTGACGCGAGCGAAGCCGCGGGTAAAATATTATTATAAATGCGAAAATTTGTGAGGAGATATATGATGTGTGTGTGAGTTCATTACTCTTTCACTTCAAAACAGCTGAAGGGATCGAGATGAAATTGGGAATAGGGTTAAATTATGATCCGGAATAACACATAGGCTATTTTTTATTCCATTGGAACGCGGGCGAACCCGCTGGCATAAACTATTGTTTAATAATAATCGTACCTATTACCTACGTGACCGTGATCACATAATTACTTATCACATTTACTTTACTCTAATGATAATAATTTCCAATCTGTTTACACATAGACATAATATTAGAAGTTTAGTGATCTCATGCTGTGTTTGAGAGTAATTAATAAATACACGCAATCATAGTGTGAATGACCTATTTGTTGTACAGCGAGAAGGAAGAAGTGCTTATAAGGTCGCAATCATATTAGATAAGCGGCAGCGATTTTAGGCCATGGCGATTTAATTTAAGTTATTTAAGCTTTTTAGGCGTTTCAGGTAATTGGCTCTGAATGAAAATTACAGAAAGTTGAGTTTTAAAAAAGATAGATTTTGATTTAAAATATTAATTACAGCTAGCAACAACTGTATGAGGTAGTAGGTTTTATGATAACCTACTGAAAACATTTACCTACTGAATCTAATAGTTAGTAATTGGTTAAAATCAGAGAGTAGCTAGGGCAAGAAGCAAGAGTATAAAAATATGTAAACAAGAGACAACGCTGTCGTTTTTCAATGTAAGAGCAACCCAATCCAAGATAACGTACGATAACAAACATGTGGTCAGCATATGAACTCAATGATGGGTGAAATTAAATTCTGGCAGATGGCTGAAGATTACTGTCACTCATTGTACGTCTTTGAGAGACAGTATATGTAGTTACCAATCAGACATAGGTAGGTACAACAATAATCCTAAGAGCAAGCATGAATATAATTGTTAAAATAACAAACTTAAAAAAAATACGAGCCAGTTACTAACAGACATAACATTAATATTTATTTTACAATCAGTATTTAACTTCATTCTCACGGTATTACTTGACTTTTCCTTTCTATATGCTGTAAAATGGCTATTTATTACACTTATTAAATTTTTATAGCGCCAATGATCGCCTGTAATATTCGAAGTACCTTTAAATAAAGTTGATATAGGTTTTTACGATCATTTTATTGCTGTATTCTGGGTTAAAGTGAATGATAAAAGGACCTTCGGATTCGATTTGACCATACATAGGTATAAAATAAACCCTTTATCGTCTACTGCTGATCGTAGATTTGATTTTATCTTCAGGAAATCGTCGTGTATGCAGAATTGTGATGCCTCTACACTCTTTTATGGATGAATGTGCCACATACGAGAACATTATGTCTATGTCATTGGATTAATCTGATGCCGGTGGCCTTTAGGGGTCTCTTATGTATAATGAAAGCTTATATGCTTCTGCCCGTGGCCTCGCCCGCGTTATATCAGACCATACATATATCTATCCCTGTTCCACAACTTCATGCCTTCAGCTGTTTTGACGTTAATCACATAACAAACATACACACAAACACAAAAACTCATAACGTTTTACAATATCAGTAAGATTTAAGCCAGTCAATAATAATTGTAAAGAACATCAGCGACAATACAGAAAACAAGAATCAAGGATTAGGAACTTTATTGATAAGTAGCAAAACTGAAGCTAACAACATAGAGTAGACGCCTGACATTAGAATTGCGCCTGTTATCAAAGAACATTCTCTTCTTCTCATCGAAATGATTAGTACTTACCTTAATTCTACGCAACAAGTCTTATTCTGTACCTACTCACCATATAATGCTTGGAGTCATCAGCATCTTGCACCAAGTCTCCGAGCAGGCAGAAGATCCTGAACAGCTTGAACACGGAGTCATCGCTAAACACGCTCTTATCTCGTCCTAGTAGACTTTTACGGCAAACCAGCCAACATACCTGAGAAAAATTGAAGAACTAATTAGAACTATGTGTTGAAGTTTGCATCTTTAGAGGGTATAGAACTTCAGAGTCTAAACCCTAAGTTTTGCTGCGAGCAAGGGTACCACGTCGCTCGATAATCCCTCTCGCCCAAGGCGGGAGACGATTTTCTGCACTCAGAAAAAAAAACACCCTATGTTTTCCCGTGGCTACTACAAAGTATAATGTGTCCTAAAGTACTCGTAATAATAAAGATATCATCTCAAGCACCCTAAATTAGCCAGTACACGTCACAAGCAATGTTATCTACATAATATATTGGATCGGCAAACAAAAATTATTATGTTTTAATAGATTTTCGTATGTTGTAACACAAATTCCTCATTTTGCCAAAGTTAGAGACCTGCCTAAATATTTTAAAAGATTATTTAAATAATCTTTTTAATACAGATTTAAGTCATTAAAAACCTGCATATTAATGACTTTATTTACTTCTAGTGCTGCTCAGTGACATAAAAAACGAAGTTGTGGTGACTGGTGACAATGGTGACATGCGGTGACCTCTCACACGTTGTTTGCGGTGTCGAGCGAATAATATTATGACATGATTGACGTGGAAGTAAGCAAGGAAATTGGTTTATGTGTACCTACTTTGGTATTCCTGCCTATATTTTCTGTAGGAATAAAAGCAATAAATAAGTATGTTGAGACTTACGGCCACTTTTCATATTTAGTAGGTAACGGATTTGTGTACAAGATCTAAGCCAAACCCAATTTTTCACATTTTCTGATGTGATAAACAAACTCTAAAATTCTCCTACAATAGGTATCTTTGCGTTATCTTTCAGCCTAATAACGTAGGCTGAATGTTGTAGACGTTGGTTCATATACATCTCTTCATAATCATACGTTTCCTATTACTCAAGCAGAGTAGGCAATAATAAATATGGATACCAGAGTTCAAAGCCTCTAAATTACCTAAGTCATCAAAAACACATTAAAACAACATATGGCTAGGTTACAGATACTAATTAATGCCACCCAATTTCTCAACACAATAGTTTTTAAACAATACTTAAAACAGATAAAGCACGCAGTAGGTTGCATGTAATTATTGATAGGCACTGACTCGTCTCGACCTACTTGCACAGCTGTGCAAAGGAGTACGGAGCCAAGTAGATTCAATAACTTATTTTATCACAATGGCAGTGTTTGGCAGGATGCCTATAAAATAAGTATTGTTTGAGCTGTGTTGTGACCCCAAAAAACTTGGCCGACTATTAAAGCAAACCGTCTGGAAAACGTTAAGTAACGTTTCATAATATCTTTTTTGAAGATTTGTGAATAGTTTACTTATCAAGTCGTTTTTAAGGTTTATTTAACAGTTTTTTACTTAAGAATTATAAAATATGCTCGACTCTAAACTTGCAAATGCAATACTTTCTGCAAGTCTATCAGGAAAATAACAGTGATTTGAGTGTTCAAATAAAAACATTATTTACTTTATGCCTAACAGGTAAAGACTAGAAACCGCAGACAGATTTTTAGAAGTATACCTACGTCCTACATAACTTAACATACCATTATGCCTTTTATCCCCGAAGCGGTAGGCAGAGGTGCACATTACGTCACTTTATGTCACTGTACAATGTAACACCTACTTTTCACTATTTATGTTATGAGTCCCATGTGATACGGGGGTGAGCCTATTGCCATATACCGGACACAATTCCAGACTCCGTGCTACTACTGAGATTTTTTTTATAAAACCTGGAATGCTTTGCCCTACCAGGGAATCGAACCCGAGACTTGTTGTTTGGCAGTCCCACTTGCGACCACTTGGCCCACGAGGCAGTCTAAATACATGTATGTAGGTATAACCTGCCTATATTACGTGTACTGTAATTTGGACACAGCTAAGAAGATTTATATTAATTTTGCGGCCTGAGGGAGTGATTACATTAGGGAGGACAGGGAAGGGCAAGTGTTTTCTATGTAAACAGACGACTATAGCACAGTGTATCACGCTCCAGACGAGTTTAGTGGAAATCAATACTGTGGACGCGGTTCCAAGAACTCAGACACTTGGGGTATACGATTGCCGATTGCATTGTGGGCAGACGTTAGCTTAGACAATACTAGATTGTCGTTTTTGAAACTTTTTGACTTATAGAAGTTGGTACACTTAAACCAAGTGAAGATTCAGAATAGTTCTCTCTAGACATAAATCACGAAAATTATAAGTCTAGTAATTAAACAACGGAAAACTAGGCATTTATATTTACGATAAAAATATTGATTAAAAATGAATCAAATAGATACCGCATTAGGTAACTCATAGATCGGAATTTCTTTCAAACATATATTAATTACGTATTAATTTCTTATTGTGACAAATAAAAAAGGGTTTCATTTCATAGTTTCTGCGCAGATGTAGTGTAACCGCGTGGTACATTAACTGGAAAAATTACTATGTCAATCAATTGTTTATTGTTTCTTATTTTAAAATGGAAATCCGATTTACAACTCTATGAAAGAGAGTCAGCAAAATTGAGGACAATATAGATATTGTATCGAAATATCACATTGTAAGCCAAGATATTAGCTAATAGATTATTTTGTAAATGGCTTCATAACTCCTTATTTGCTATCTTTTCGTAATAATCTATCAGAGGACGTTGACATTTGGTCGATAAATAAAATCTAAGAAATTACTATTACTAAGATAAGTACTTATAATTTTGCCGTGGGAGAAAGGCGTTGATAAAAACTTATTAATGTACTTAATTTATTTGACTGTTAGTATTAGCCCGCATACAATCCTAGTGAATGTGTCCAAATTAGTTAAACCAAAAACTTTGTTATCTTCCTTTCTTTCTTTAACTTACCGCGGCTCGATAATAAGATCATAAATTTTGTCAATTTTACGATTTAAGGAAAACAAGGCAATTTGAAAGTAAAACAGGCTAAATTAGTAGCCTTGTGGTTTGTACTGACAGTGTTTAGTACTGATGGCGTCCATCGCACTAATTGAACCGGGGGATATGGTCACGCAATCCGAAGTCTACAATAAGGCAGAATGAACTACGTGCTACCAGTATAACCTGACCTCGTGTTGGCAAGGTTTTTTATACAGAGGAAGGTCGGCTCATTCTAGTATAACGTGAATATTAAAAGAATCAGTCCATCGGGAAACCGTAAATGGAGCTAACTAATTGAAATAGATACCTAAAGAAAGTTAAGTAGTTAACTTATTTGATTTAGTTTTAAAAGTGAAAGAAAGTTCTTTTGTTATTCTTGTAAATACAGACGTAACGAAAGCTTAGAAGGTGGTCCGAAAAAACTGCTTTATTATCTTAATGCCAATTGTTTTCTTGTTGCTTTTCATCCACTTATGAACATTTTGGCACACAGAGCAAATCCTTTATCAAAATTGAAGTAGGTAAGCACATAATATAGGTGTCTATGTATACCTACACTCTATGTATGTTAGTATAAGTAAGCCATTATTTTCTCCACAGACTTCGTCGTGCGTCGTAATCGAATCCAATATATTTGAATTAAGTGAACATCTGCCCACAGTCAATATTTATTACGGAATGTGTACCTCTATCTCTCTTCCTTATTAATTTAAGATCCGATAAGTAGGACATGGAATTACTTTATTTTGGTATTGTTGGTAGTAGAAGAGAATGATAAAAAAGAAATCCTACTTTATCCAAAGAATAGAAATCGAAATGTAAATGAAAAAACCTTAATTATCTGTCAGGTTTTCAATACATATATAATAAAAATCCAATTCCTACCTCGCTGATCTTCTTCTCATAGTCCCTGACTATTGGTAAAGTAGCAGTCTTCGGCAGGGAGCTGAAGACCTCACGCTGCAGGTAGTAACGGAACTCATCGAAGGTAAGTTCTTGTGATGATTTGAAGTGATCAAGCCCCTTTTCTACTCCATAGAGGTCCAGTAAGGTCCCAATATTTGCTGTTAGCACCTGGAAAGATAAGAAAAATATGTTAGAGGTATGTTTGGACTTTGGACTTAGACGGATTATCAGATCGGGAGGACTTCATTAGGTAAATAGTTATGAGAACAGAAACTGTGATCATGTTGTATTTCTTTCAATAATATGCATTGTACAATTTTCTTAACCTACAGTTTAATATCTGCGTAGTCTTTAAATGATAACTAGTCGGTAGATACAGTTACGGTTTAAGAATCTTAGATGAATCATTCAATGCAACGTCATTTACACATCGTATATAATTACATACTATGTTTGCTCACCCTAACTAAGTACCTAATGGTTTAACCTTAATCTACAAAATTCTATGCATTTAAAATGTTATTTTCATTTATGTACGTGCTTTTCTTTGGTCACACGTCTTTGTGTATTTACTCCCTCAGATGTTAAACAAACTCAGTTGCACTCAAACATACTAGAAATATTACAGTTAGTATGGAGTAGCACTAACACTGTACAAACAGATGAAATCACCACTAGCTAAGTTACAAGCTGACTCATTGTTTCTGTTCGCTATCAGCTAACTCAAACGCAAACTGACACGTTTCGGGTTTCAACACACATCAATACAAACATTGCACAGAAAGTTCACTTTAACTATACCTAATTGGTTTTTGAAATTGATTTTTGAAAAGTTAGCATTTTGCTATATAAAATATTATTTACTTGTAATGAGGCTGGGGTAAATCTTAACCAGAATAGGTATCTAAATAATAAATTTCCGTATTTTACTATTTTCCTATTTTGCTCTCTGCATCTTAAAGATGGTTGGACCGTGTTCTTGAACATATTTCGGCGACGTCTTTGTGAACCTTCGTTACATTTTTTATGACACGAGTTTTTCTACATGAACACATACACATCAAGTAATTGGAAACGTAACGTAAACCGATTCGCTTTGGGTTACGATGACTTATCTAATGAGTGGTCATCAGCTGCCTTAATAGTAGTCAAATTAGTTTTATAAAAACAAAGAGGACATTGTGTTGCTTATGTCGGAATACTGAAACGCTACTCAATTTTAAATCGTGCTTAAGTATAGTTATACTTATGTTCTACAAATTCTTTGTAAAATGACAGAGATGGCACGATATTTGAGCACGACTTAAAATTCCAATGCTGTCCAAACCTCAATGCTGTCCATCACCACCTTGAGACAGCAAAGCCGGCCTTGCTCTTTTTGACTGAGACGCAGATATCGTCTCCGTTGGACACATCCTACCTCACCTACCCTGGGTATGGACTGGAACATTCCTTCCTGCCTAGGGCCGGGGTGTGCGTGTACATCAGGGACGATATCAGCTCACGTCGCCTCAGTAATCTTGAAGGTAGGGACCTGTCCACCTTATGGCTGCGTGTAGATAACGACGACCACCCCCGTGTCTATGCGTGCCTATATAGGTCCCATAGCGGTGATAGCGAGACTGACCGACTCATGGACCACATCCAGGCGGCTGTAGATCTTGTGCAGGGGCAGATATCCTCAGCGGAAGTGGTCTTGCTTGGCGATTTCAACGCCCATCACGCCGACTGGCTCTGCTCCAGTAAGACTGACCACGCGGGGAGATCTGTCCACGGCTTGGCTCTTGCTTCTGGCCTAACACAACTGGTGACCGTGCCCACGCGAATCCCAGATGTGGAGGGCCAGAAGTCTTCACTGTTGGACCTTCTGCTGACCTCTCACCCGGACGGCTACAGCGTATCCGTCGAAGCCCCTCTTGGCTCATCGGACCATTGCCTTGTCCGGAGCACTGTATCTTGGACGTGCATACCGCGACTACAAGAGGTACGCGGTCGCCGTGTATGGCACTATAGGTCGGCAGACTGGGATGGGATGCGGTCCTTTTTTGCATCCTACCCTTGGAGGCGGGTTTGCTTCTTGCAGGATGATCCCAATGCCGCTGCCAATTCTGTTGCTGATGTGGTGCTGCAGGGGATGGAGCTTTTCGTCCCATCTTCTCTGGTCCCCGTCGGTGGCAGGTGTCGGCCCTGGTTTGATGCTTCTACCAGAAAGGCCTCACGCAGAAAGCGGGGGGCCTACCAAGCCTGGGTCGATGCGGCGGTGGCACGGGATGTAAATACCAGTGCACTAAAAAAGGAGTATAACTTTGCCTCCAAGTCCTACAAAAGAGCTATTGCGGGTGCCAAGTCGCAGCACATCGGTAGAATTGGTGAGAGGCTGGAGCGCCTTCCTTCAGGAACTCGTTCATTCTGGTCGCTCGCCAAAGCTATCGAGGGCAATTTCTGCAGGCCGTCATTTCCACCTCTGCACATGGGTGAGGATTCGTTGGCTCATAACGCAAGGGATAAGGCTCAACTTTTGGCAAAAATCTTTGCGTCCAACTCGACACTGGATGACGGTGGGCACGAGCCTCCTGTTGTGCCTTGGTGCGGAAGGTATATGCCGGATGTGCGGTTCCACCAGCGCACGGTACGTTTGGCGCTTTTGTCCCTTGACGTCCATAAGTCGAGTGGGCCTGATGGGATCCCACCCATTGTTTTGAAGATGTGCGCCCCCGAGTTGGCCCCAGTTTTAACACGTCTTTTTCGGCTCTCTTACTCCTCAGGCGTAGTTCCGACGTCCTGGAAGACAGCTTTAGTCCACCCAATCCCTAAAAAAGGTGACCGATCTAACCCGTCTAACTACAGACCGATAGCCATAACTTCCCTCTTCTCGAAAATAATGGAGTCCATTATTAACTGCCAGCTCCTGCGTTACTTAGAGGATCATCAGCTGCTCAGTGACCAGCAATACGGTTTTCGTAAAGGGCGGTCTGCTGGTGATCTTCTTGTTTACCTAACGCATCGGTGGGCACAGGCGATCGAGTCTAAGGGGGAAGCGTTGGCAGTAAGTTTAGACGTGGCGAAGGCCTTCGATCGGGTTTGGCATAGAGCGCTTCTTTCGAAGCTTCCTTCCTACGGACTTCCTGAGAAATTATGCAAATGGGTCTCCTGCTTCCTTGCAGACAGAAGCATTAAAGTCGTCGTCGACGGTGAATGCTCTGACTTGATGTCTGTAAACGCAGGTGTCCCTCAAGGCTGCGTGCTATCGCCTACATTGTTCCTCCTCCATATCAATGACATGCTGCAAATCAGCGGCATTCATTGTTATGCGGATGACAGCACAGGCGATGCCTACTACACCGGCCGCGCTAACATTTCTCGGGAAAACGTCATAGAGAGCCGAAACAGACTCGTGTCTGAAATCGAGACCTCTTTAGGGAGAATCTCTGATTGGGGTGGACTTAATTTGGTCCAGTTTAACCCCACTAAGACACAAGTCTGCGTGTTTACCGCTAAGAAACTGCCGTTGGTCGTCTCTCCTCATTTTCAAAGCACCCCCCTAACTGCCTCAGCCGGTATTGGAATACTTGGTGTCAACATTTCGAGCGACGTCCAGTTTTGCGGTCATTTAGAGGATAAGGCCAAATTAGCCTCGAGGAAGCTTGGTGTGCTCAATAGATCGAGGCAGTATTTCACCCCGGCCCACCGCCTGCTTCTATATAAGGCACAGGTGCGGCCCCACATGGAATACTGTTCTCATCTTTGGGCGGGGGCACCCCAGTACCAGCTTCTTCCTCTGGACCGCATTCAGCGGCGTGCCGTTCGGATTGTTGGATGTCCGGGTGTTTCAAACCGGCTCGACACTTTGGCAATGCGTAGAGATGTAGCTTCATTGTGCATTTTCTACCGCTTATACCACGGGGAGTGCTCTGAGGAATTGTTTGACCTGATACCTGCCGCATCTTTTCGCCATCGACCCTCACGACAGCATATGCATCCCCATCAAATAGATGGTTGGCAGGCCACAACTGTGCGGTTCTCACGTAGCTTCCTGCCTCGCACAGCAAAACTGTGGAATGATCTGTCGTCGGCGGTATTTCCGAACCGATACGACCTTCAAACCTTCAAGAAAAGAGCGTACTCCTTTTTAAAAGGCCGGCAACGCACCTGTGACTCTTCTGGTGTTGCGGGTGTCCATGGGCGGCGCTGATCGCTTACCATCAGGTGATCCGTCTGCTCGTTTGCCTCCAATTCCATAAAAAAAAAAAAAAAAAAAAATTGAGTAACGTTTCAGAATAATGTCGACATTAATATTACTATGGTTTGCAGTTACAGTTGCATTACAATCTTCCACAGCCATTTTTTTCTTAAGAATGTTTAATTATTGAAGGTGGCTATAATTTGATTAACTAAGAAGTTGACAGAGAAACCAGTGCACAGTTGAAATGCAGTTGACATCCGGGAAAGGAGCTCGCCTATAATAAATGATCTTATTAATTTCAAAATCTCAGGTCCTATCTTTGTTTTTGACAGAAACTCCATACAAATCCAATCAAAAAATCGTTCTTAATCCATAAATTTTGGACTGGTTATTAATTTGACAATTAATACTGAACTATAAACATATGATGAAGAATTGTTCTTTATAGAAAGTTCTAGACTGAAACGGACAATCAATGGAAAATGCGAGGCCTTGAACTGGACTATTCTGACTATTGATTTAGATAGACAATGTAGTATTATGTCACTTTGGGCGTATCAACGATTCCTCATTTGTCTGTTTGTCAAACTCATTAGGATGATTGACACTTTAGTAACTGGATATGTCTGCTAAGCTCGCAAGGAGTACCTACTCGTGTATGTTATTCATTTCGTGATATAAAAAGTAACATGATTATGTCACTTTTTAATGATAAAAATGTAGAGATATTAGTTAAGTATATAGGCAGGCAAAAGTAATATAAACTGCATTTAATGTAACACTCCCTTTTCGCATGTGTTGTTGTGTGGTAACATGTATACTATTGTATAATTACGTATATTATGTGTCATAGTTTGTGGCATTTTTTAAATTAGTTGGCGAAGTGATTTTACAATGATATATGACGACGGCGTGTGACAGGATTTAGTCGACCTTCCATAATAATTAATTGCATGAGATAATAAAATGACTAAGTGTTGAGTAA